GGAGAACGAGCGGGTGGAGGTCGGGGATAGAGAGAACGAGCGGGTGGAGGTCGGGGATAGAGAGAACGAGCGGGTGGAGGTCGGGGATAGAGAGAACGAGCGGGTGGAGGTCGGGGATAGAGAGAACGAGCGGGTGGAGGTCGGGGATAGAGAGAACGAGCGGGTGGAGGTCGGGGTAGGAGAGGCGGAGGTCAGAGGTCAGGGTGGTCGAGCGGAGGACGGGAATGGGCGAGGTAATTGATGTCTTGCCGAGTAAACAAACGTGTGCTTGTGTTTCATGTCCAAGTCACTCTTGAGGTGTCAGGGAGGGAGGGAGCTGGAGAGGGAGAAGGGCAAGTGTACTTGTCTGAATGTACTCGCCTACAAGGGTGCTGTACAGGGGCCTCACAGCTGAGTGAACAGCGCTTCGGATTCGTAGTCCTGAGGTTCCAGGTTCGATCCCCGGTAGAGGTGGAAACAAATGGACAGAGTTTTACACCCTGATGCCCCTGTTACCTAGCAGTAAATGATTGATTGATTGATGATTGATGAAGATTAAGCCACCCAAGAGGTGGCACGGGCATGAATAGCCCGTAAGTGGTGGCCCTTTTGAGCCATTACCAGTATCAAGAGCTGATACTGGAGATCTGTGGAGGCGCGACTGCACCCTGCGTGACGGGAGATGTCTCCCGGACCAAGTGGTGACCAGATGGTGTAGCAGTAAATAGGTACCTGGGAGTTATATAGCTGCTACGGGCTACTTCCTGGATGGGGGGGGGGGAGGGGTGTAACAAAAAGGAGGCCTGGTCGAGGACTAGGCCGCGGGGACGCTAAGTCCCGTAATCATTTCAACATAATCTCAAAATAGCCTAGTTGTGCTTGCGGAGGTTGAGCTTCGGCTCTTTGGTCCCGCCTCTGCGTGTACGCCTGCTTGTGTTTGCGAGGCTAGGCTTCAGCTCTTTGGTCCCAACTCTCAACCTATTATGCTCTTGTTATAATTGCCTTTGAAGCTGTGTAGGAGTCTGGCTCCACTATTTTGCTTCTTGATGCATTAATTTTGTATCAATGTTTTTGTCACAACGCTTCGATATTTTGCACATGTGTTAATCCACTTGTTGGATCATTTTTTTCAGGTCATCTGTATCAGTTTCTTCGTCTTCCAATGTAATTATTCTCAAAAATTTTGCCTAGTCAGTGGACATTGAGAGGAGGAACTTAGGGCCTCTGGGTATTTATGCATTTCTGAGGGTTAAGCGAAACGCAGCATGGTTTCTATACCAAGTTAGCAGTAAACATAAACAAATTGTAACGTGCCAGGAATTGGAGCATTCAGGTTATTAGAAAAAATGTAAAGTAACCGATAGCCTAATACGATAAATTAAATTGCCAACTAAAGTGACAAGAGATGAATAAGTGGTAAATTAGTAAACTCTTAAGTACCACATAATAAACTCCAGTGTAACAATTAGTGCAATGGGACTGTGCCTCTTGGGGGGTGGGGGTGGGGGGGGGTCCAGCGAGAGCTACCCCCATTTAATGAATGATCAATGTTGCAGAACAAGAGGGGAATAAATGACACACGTCAATTCCTGACAATAACAGTGAATTGTCAGTGGGGAAAAAATGGCACAGAAAATAATGACAATGAAAATAATTGATAATGATAAACCAGTGCCAGCGATAAAGTGATATATGAGGAACTGACGTGAGCCAAGAGTTCAAGAGGACGGTCGCACGAGGCTGAGGCAGGAGGGGGTTGGGGGCGGAGGACAACAAGAGCAAGCAAGATGCAAGAGATGCAAGAGCATCCCTGCAAGAGGTATTGTGTCGAAGGCTTTCTGCCAGCACAAAAATATGCAGTCAGCCCACCCTTCTGTCTCGTTTGATTTGTTGCCAGGTCATACAGAGAATGGTATCAGCTTTGTGGGGCAAGATTGGGCGCCCGTAGACCCATATTGGTGACAAGGAGCACGGAGAAGTGGAAGATGTAGGAGAGAGAGGTGGGGAGTAAGAGCAGGCGGAAGATAGCAAGAGTGAAGTACAGGGGGACCCTACAAAAATGTATACAAACTTTTAACAGCTGATATTTCAATTGGTGTTGAAAAAAAAGCGAATACAAAGAATAAAAATGAATTATTGCATTTAAAATTGCCAAGTATAGCATGTGTAAATAATTAAGTTTATATAATTCTATTGTCGGGGACAGGAAGCCTGTGTACACACATATTTGCATGTACATACTCATTCCCTCCACGTCTTACAAAGTTTGTTTACTGTGATCCATGACACGACTCGCTCAAGAGGCGGCGGAAAGGCTTCAACATCACCATCTTACAACGCAGTAATATATATTAGTGTTACTGACCAAACATCTCCCGCTCTAATAAGCACCGCCACTCTAACCCTCATCATCAGAATTTACGAGGATCGGAACGGCTTCTAGCAGAGCTGGATTCCTTTCCACGCTGCGTAAGAGTGCTGAGAGATTATCCAGATCTACCATCCCTTGCGGCCTTGTTTGTGTGTCTCGAGTCTTAAGTGTTTATCATGGGAGGCAAATCTCTTGCTTGAAAATGACTTGATGCTAAACTTTTCAATGTATATTACATGTTAAAATCCTCATAAATATTCAAGAATTTGTATATCTGATGTATTTTAATAGTATTTTAATATTTCAATAATATTGGGGCTAATAAATTGAATAGTGGGCATTTTCTCTAAAGTGGAGCAGTTCGGACGAAGCCCTTGTAGATGATGCGGGTTATCTCTTGAGGAACGCGGCCCCTCTGTCCGAACCTGTCCATGTCTGCTTATCCTCCACCAACCATTACCCACACACACACACCCTGAGCGCCGGTGACCTTTCTCAGGCAAATAAACTTGGTGGATCGAATTAATGTTCGTGGACTTCATCCCGAAGTTGTTGTTGTTGTTGTTGTTATAGATTCAGCTACTCGGAACAAGTTACAAGTAGCACAGGCTATGGTGAACCCGTAGTGGACTTACCTGGCACAGGAGAGGGGCTGTGTGTCTCACATCCCGAAGCCAAACTAGTCCTCTAGTACTTGGAAGATCACCCCTCCCCCTCCCCCTATTAAAAACCTGTAACGTCCTCTTGAGTCGTCTCAACGTCACAATAAATGGTGTACTAATTTTTTTCATGACCATTTTCGAACCGAGGACCCGCTGATAGAAAACGGGAGTGCCCATTAATCTTGCGAGCCGCTGAGATTTATAGTACATCATGTTTTGGCCGTTGGGGGATTTATACCTCAAAATGCTATGTACTAATAGGACTTTTTTTGCATATGTCAATACACAATACATCTTGTTCCGTGTTGAATTATATAACAACGGTTTTAATGGTAATATAAAATAATGTACAACTGATTAGTTTTGCAACGTACAACGAAAGCTTTGACCAATTTGTGTTGGTTACACTCTTGTTAGAGCGATGGTCTCGCTTCATGCAGGTCTGAGTTTAATCCCCGACCGTCCAAGTGGTTGGGCACCATTCCTCTCGTCCGTCCTATCCCAAATCCTTATCCTGACCCCCCTTCCCAGTGCTATATAATCGTAATGGCTTGGCGCTTTTCCCCCTCATAGTTCCTTTCCCCTTGCCACCTTGTGCATCCACACATAAGAGTTCAGGCAGTGCGTCTATGCACGATACAAACTAGAAGGCAGGCCTGTATCTATCCCTTAGTATCCCTTAGATACAGGTCTGTATCCAAGGGGTTCTTCCCTGCTGGAAAGGTTATCCAATGACTTGAAGTTGGTAAGCAAAACTCCTCTGAAGGGCTAATTTAAACAAATTTAAATTAAATTAAATTAAATTTTTTATTTAAGTAAAAGTACGTACATAGAAGATGAGTTATAAACATAATGTTGGATTTATAGATAGAGCTAGTACATAAGAGTACCCAAATCCACCAATTCGCACAGTGTTTCGGACAAGGTGTGGGTAAAAAAAACCCCACTTGGACTAAAACTTTATAGTATTTGAGATTAAAGTATAAATTGTGTTGAGAAAGGAATAAAAAAGAAAGTGGGTGGAGGGGGGACATGGCAGAAATCAGCAATTATACAAGTTGATCAACAAACAGTATTGTTTGAAAATAGCAAGACATGGGTTGACAAATCCACAAAGACCGTGATGAGGGTTCGAATCTACGTCCGAGAGGATCCCAGATGCGCCTTAATTATTTCTTCATTTGATGCATCACGCTATTGTGATTTCTGTATGTAATGGGTTGACATTTAGGGGGTAAGGTAGGTTACATGGCGTTAATTAGGTAGAACTTAGTTTTTCTCTTAAACTGGCTGAGAGAGGTACAGCCTTTGACATGATTGGGAAGGTCATTCCACATTCTAGGTCCCTTGATTTGTAAAGCATTTTTAGTTTGGTTAAGATGCACTCTTGGAATATCAAATAGGTATTTGTTTCTGGTGTGGTGCCCATGGGTTCTGTTACAACCTTCTAGGAAGCGTTGAAGGTAGGATTGGCATTATAGTTCAGAGTTTTAAATATATTGTACACTTAACACTTAGTGTAAATACGTACACTTAAGTGTAAATATACACTTAAGTACACTTATGAGGATGTGCAGTGACTTAATATCTACCATATTCAAAGATTTAAGTAAGGGTACCGAGTGCTGCCTGGGGCTAGAGTTTGATATTGTTCTAATAGCAGCTGTGTGTTGAGTACAAAGAAGAGTACATAGAAATCACTATGTGCAGGGGATGCTGGGAAGTAAGGAGTCTTGCTGCAGGGAGCAGTTCCAGCAGAGACATGTAAAAACAAAGCGTGAGCAGCTGACATAGCAGCTACAGTACAGGAAGGTGGAGGTGTAGGTGACTTAAAAGGGGGTCGTGTCTTGAATAGATCATGTGACTATGGGTGCAGAAAGTGACTTCTACATTCAGTGCCAGAAATTGTTCTCTCTAGAATTAACCTTGTTTTAACAGTAGTGTTGTGTATATATTTTGATGCTCATACCTTTAACTTTTTTTTACAGGTTACCTGTTACTTCTGCTGAAAACACCGATAGAGGCTCAGATAGCTGGAGGTACTACTGCTGGGGATGAAACACTCACAGCCCATATTACTGTACCAGGGCCTGTATCAGAACACTCAACAACTGTTACCTCTTTACTAAATGGTGAGGGAGAGGAAAACACAACCATGATTGTAACTGAAGAATCTGCAATAACTACAACAGAGAACTTGCTTCAGACTTCTGTGGTCTCGGAAGCATCTTTAAATGCAACGGTAACCCCAGAAAGTAATACTGATAATAGGAGACTGGACATTAATGACACTCCAATCACCGTGTTTCCACAAGTGGATCCAGAAATAAGCTTAAGTGATATTCATGTTTCTGAAAGTTCTTCGATACCCGATTCATCGGCTATTACTGAAGATTCAGTACACTTACTTACCACTCCAGAAGAAAACATTCTAACGACACTTCCATCATCCTCAAGCACCACAGATAGAGGAAGTAGCACAGTACCTGAATTAGTAACTGAAGCCTCTTTACCAGAGTCTTCTCATGCACCAGTAACTGAAGCCTCCTTACCAATGGCTTCAACTACATTAGTAACTGAAGCTTCTTTACCAGAGTCTTCTCATGCCCCAGTAACTGAAGCCTCCATACCAATGGCTTCAACTGCATTAGTAACTGAAGCCTCTTTACCAGAGTCTTCCCATGCACCAGTAACTGAAGTCTCCCTACCAGAGGCTTCTCCAGAACCTCTTCCAGCTGAAGAAATAACTTCTATTAATGACAGTGAGAGTCCAACACATTCACCAGGTCCTCCACTCGACATTACCACCACTAGTTTACCAGACACCTCTCCGAAAGAAATTGATAAGCCAGAATTGTACACCAACATCAGTACAAGTACACTGCCACCAGTAGACTCAACGTTGATGCCAACTGATGGCACATACACTCTGGAGACGTCAACATATGCACCTACGACAGCCCCACACACCACATCTGAATCACACCTTTCTTCGCCTGGGCTTAGCAGTAATCCTGTCACTAGCAGTAGTCAAGTCACTGTCAGTAATGCTTACCGCTGCTTTTGGGAAGTTGAAGTAAGAATATTTTTGTACATACAGTATGCTTCATATTCTAAGTTTCTATTTAAACAGAGAGTCCCAGTTACATTAATTTGTTACAGATTATCTGAAGCTTATTTATTTATTTATATATATACAAGAAGGTACATTGGGATTGTGAGGATACATAGCATAGTAATTACATTCTTGTAAAGCCACTAGTATGCGCAGCGTTTCGGGCAGGTCATTAATCTAAGAAAATTTTAAGTAGGTAAATACTAGCAAAATTTATAAAAATGATAACAGTTGCATAGCAAGAAAAACTGCTTAATCTGAAAGTCTGGTTTATCCTTTGGATAATTGATTTACAATACCGTATGCTGCACAGTATAGTAATCCTGAATATCTGAAGGTCATGTTAGATTTTTGAGATTGGATGATTTTTGTACAAATTATCAAAGGTGTTTTCAAATATTTGTTTTGAATGCAAATTTGTGTCTAAGATACATACTGTAATCTCAAACATATCACAGCCGCAAAAATACATTTGAAATTATTTTTGTGCTTTAAGAATCAAAATGTTTGAAAATTTATGAAATGTTATTCATGATAAAAAATGTATTAATATAAATACTGTACAGTATTTAATTTGATTTGTCGTGGGGACAGGAATCCGGTGTACAGTATACTGTATATAGTACAGTATACTGTATTTGTAAGTAGGGGCATTCGTAAGTCAAGGTTCCTACATACTTTTGGCTTATAATGAAGTCTCTCCAAGGTTGAACTACTGACCTTTCCCCCAGGATGCAGCCCCACAACAGTTGCCTAACTCTTGGATACCTACTGTATTTACTGCCAGGTGAACAGAGGCACTACTGTAACGTGATAGGAAACTTGCTCAACAGTTTGTCTCGCCCGGGAATCGAAGCTGGAATTCCTGATTGAGTGTTGAAAATGAAGCTGAAGCTCTATTTTGAACATATATCATTGCTCCCAGATCAGGGTGTTCAGTAAAGCAAGAGGACATGTATTGCGTTATAACATCGCTGCAGGGTCATATAAGGTCATTATCCACACCTAGCCCATCTAACTCTCACCCACCTGCCCACCCACATTCTACCACCCATCATATACTACCTACACTAATTATCTCCCCTCATTCCCTCTCTAATATATACACTATCTAGAGTGAGAGTTTAGTGAGTGAGAGAGTTTGTGTGTAATTACTTGATGAAACTACACCTTTCTAACCGATATAGTTTTCCTCTATTTCTACTACATATATATATTCTCTAACATGCACACACACACACATCCCCATGAAAGCAGCCCGTAGCAGCTGTCTAACTCCCAGGGTCCCTATTCATGGCTAGGTGAACAGGTGCATCAGGCAAAGGAAACTCTGCCTATTTATTTCCGCCTCGGTCAGGAATCGAACCCGGGACCCTTTAGAACTATGACCTCCCCTCCCAAGTGCTGTCCACTCGGCCACAAGGCCCTAAACCATATACACACTTCATGCAGTGGCATCTTTTTGTTTTAAGAATACTGTACTGAATTCATAATATTCTCTGCTTTGTAAGATATTTGTTGCTTAGACTCTCTGGATATCTTCCTCAATCATCTGTGATAAAAACCTATCTAATTATCTCTAATATTAATTTATACTTTTATTTCTCCAAAAATATAATTATTTCTTCTCAATACTAGTCATCTGATCTTCAGCCTTATTGTGGCAGGCTAATACATTGCTGGTGGTCGCAATCATGACGGCAATAAATGTGATGGCAGTGGTAGTGACAGGAATATGTGTTCATCGCGTTGCATCTCGCAGAGTCTCCTGGGACCCTCCACCAATACACTATAATCAATCGGTACGAGTCCAACCTTTTCTTTGCTACATATTAAAAGGCAGACTGTGTTGTATGGTATGGTAAACTGCCATATCAGACCATCAATATGATACTTCACAGAATAAGCTTAGAGTTCACTTTAAATTGATGTATGATATGCATAGAGTCAACAAATGTTTTAACCATATATATTTTGAAAGATTGTTGGATTGCACATAAAGAGTAAAATTTCAAATATAGAGGATTCTTTTAGACTATAGTAGCCTATGTAGTTTTCAGATTACTAGGCTTGTTTACTTGTCTTAAAGTCTATAAAGTGTTTATCACTTTGTATGACTTCTATTTATATTTTGGGGGGAGCCCACGGTGGCTCCCTGCAACTATCTCGCCAAGATTGTTTTTTTCCTTCTCAATCTAATCACCCATAGGAGTCCAGTATGGTCTACCAGGGACCAGAGCCCAAACTTGGCCCCTTGAAGGCACAGGGAACAAGGGATTGTTACAAGGGATTATTATGAGAAGGTGGTGGAGGTACTACTGCTGGTGGTGGAGGTACTACTGCTGGTGGTGGAGAACAATTGCAATTGTCTGCCAGTAGGTGGCAGCCTCACTGGATCTCCATCCTCTGCCATATTTTGGCTCAGTCCTGTCACTAATGTCTGAATTCAGACCTCCCCAAGTCACATCTTTTGAACTTTGTTCTGTGGGGTCCATTTGCTCGTGTGTCCCTCCTAGCATTTAGTATTTGCTTCATATGCATGTGTTTACTAGTCTTACTTGAGTCGACCTCTTTGCTTAGAGGTGCATGTGTTTAGGGCAGCCATTACCTAAGCACTCTATAGCATTGCCCCTTCACTGATGATGATTTCTCTGGTGTGTTTGAGAGTTTGCTTGAGAGGCCAGGTTACTGTGTAGAGTACCTTGCCCTGGTTAGTGCATAAGTTTGATGTCTCTGCGAGGTCCTCTGATTGGGGGCATTTGGGGGAATTTTATTGTGGGGTACACTAGGGTTTGTGCACTTGTGTACACGCTTAGTTGTTCCCACCTAGTTGTGGTTGTGGGGGTTGAGCTTCGGCTCTTTGGTCCCGCCTCTCGTCCGTCAATCTACTAATGTACAGATTCTTGAACTTCTTGAGCTCTCTCATATCTACATTTGAAACTGTGTATGGAGTCAGCCTCCACCACATCACTTCCTAGTGCATTCCATTTACTAACTACTCTGATACTGAAAACTTTTTTCTAATATGTCTGTGGCGCTGGATACCAGATACTGGTATCCAGATACTGGTTCTGAAAAATTCCTTACACAGGTTTCTGAAGGCAGTTCTGATGTATGCCAGGCTTGCATATGCTGCTGTTTTTCTTTTGATGTGGGCTTAAGGAGACAGGTTTGGCATGATATCGATTCTTAGATCTTTGTCAATTTCATGCAGGACCTTGTCTCCCATTCGGTATCCAGTGTCTGGCCTCTGGCCAGACGCTGGATACCAGACGCTGGATACCAGACGCTGGATACCAGACGCTGGATACCAGACGCTGGATACCAGACGCTGGATACCAGACGCTGGATACCAGACGCTGGATACCAGACGCTGGATACCAGACGCTGGATACCAGACACTGGATGCCAGACACTGGATGCCAGACACTGGATGCCAGACACTGGATGCCAGACACTGGATGCCAGACACTGGATACCAGACGCTGGATACCAGACACTGGATACCAGACGCTGGATACCAGACGCTGGATACCAGACGCTGGATACCAGACGCTGGATACCAGACGCTGGATACCTGGCCAGTGTCTGGGCCAGTCACGAAGGCCTGTGGCCTTCGAAGCATCTGAGGCTTTTGAAGTCAGGCCAGGGTTTATATTTGGATGTAATTCAACCACTTCTTGGGTCTGCCTCCATCCACATAGACCATAGAGACAGTTGAACTGTTCCTTCCTGCCAGGGATTCAGAGCCTTCTACTTCACAGGAGGGCTTTGCCTTGTTCCTATCCTTCTCTGCGAGACGATGCATTCTTGTATCAGGCACTGAGCTTGGATATGTCTGATTTTCTGGGTCATCATACCTGACCATGGCTGGGGAAAGGGAGCCCAAGGGGAGACAGAGTTCCTGGGTGCCTTTCAGTCCTTTCTGATCCTTGATTCCATCTGGGTCTTTGTTAACAGCCTGAATATGCCCCCCTTTATGCAGGTTTCCATAGTCTTGTCATCATCTGGCTGTGGCTTGGACAGACAGACAGACTTCAGTTCCTGCTTCAGGAATTGGGACCAAGACTGAGTCCGAGACCTGACTCATTTGTGTATAGGGTCATCTTCAGATTTCTGGCAAACTTTTTATTGTATGCAGATGCTTGACTGAAAGGAGGGGGGCCCCCCATTTTCTAGGTTTTACTTGGGATTCTCTTTTTGTGGCAGTAAATTGTACTCAGTTTACCCTTGCCCTTTCCTGAAATGTTGCAGTTGCTTATACAGGTATTTCTCCTTATAGTAGTTTGTTTTGGGGTACTGTATCATTCTGGTAATTTTTCTCTTGGTAGATCATGTCACCAGGCTCGCTGTGTCTCCATCGAATGAACCAGATTCTGCTTTTGGTCTGCAGTAAGCTTTTATGATTCATGAACCTGGTAAGGCTTTAATAGCTCCAGGAAGCCACAGAGCGGACTCATTAGAAAGATGCATTTTATTACTTTCAGTGCTAATTTTTTTAACTATATTATTTAGTATGTTAAATTTTGATACTGGTGTACAATTGTTTGTCAGCTATATCACTACCTTTAGGCACTGGAGTTACTTATATCAAAGATAGTTTGTTGTATACAACAGTCGTAACTTAACAAGAGGCAGATATTTGCTTTGGAATTTAACTATGATGTCAACAAGATTTAATTACTTCATTTAAAGTTGATTGTACTTCTGTTAATTCCTATTTACTGCAGGGTTTCAGTGTAAAGCTCTGAGGTTTAATTGTACAGTGTTTAGGTGATGTTAATAAATGGAGGTGTGGTTATTATAGTAGGTCATGGTTGATGATCTGGTTTATTTTATTTATTAAATATTATTTATGAGCAATTAGGAAACTGTAGATTTAGTACTTTGTTTTATATTCATTTTCACCTTGTAATTTTCAAATCACTACAAATTAACAATATATACATCAACCGCTTTTAGTTAAGACTTGCTCAAAATTCTATACATCTGTAAAGTACTGTAAATTGGCAATTATTAAAATACACACAGACTATACACATACACCTATTTTGAACTGAGGGATTTAAACAAACCATTTAGATGTGTGCATTAAATAACTTTTAATGCATGAGGTCATGAGGTGTGTGGGACAGCATGGCTAGACTTTCCAAAAACATGGGAAAACTATTACATTCCACTAATACACATTCTCTCCTAGATGCAACTCGCCAAACTTGCAAACAGTGCCAATTAATAAATTGAAAATAACATTGAAATTAATATAGTGCCAGTTATTATACAGTAGTAGAAAATAAATTACACACCAAAATTGTAAATAAAATTACCATACCTATTTTACTTTCTTCTAAATATTTAAATGCATAAATGAGATCGAGTCTTTAGTCACTTTTCTGAAAATTTATTGCATGCAAAACAGTGTTACATTCCTTGAATACCACACACATTTCTGTCTTACCCTTGACATAAGGCAACTCCTAAAGTACTGTACATTATTTATCAAGATAGTAATTGAGACAAAACATGCAAAAGTATTTCAGAAATGCTGAGACATGTACTGGGTAACTATATTTCAGAACCGAGGGGAGCAGGCCAGGCAAGGTGGCCCTCTGTCTGGACTGAATCTGGCTTCTGACAGAGACTGTAAGGCAGACGAGGGTGGAGGAGCTCCTGCCACCCACATCCCCATCCTAATCACCAATGAAGATGGCTGGTGTGTTCCCTACAGTGACCCAGACCACAAGAAAAAGGGAAGCGAGGCCACTAAAGACACCGGAGTGTGAGTCGGGAGCTGTACGTACTTAACAGCATTGGATGATGAAGGTAATAATGTTGGATTTTGGTATACCTTATAATTTACTACTATAATTACACAAGTTTTTCTCGTGTTACATGTGGAAATAAATATTATGAAGTTAATTAAATGTCTTGTATATAATGTACGATAAGCTCACATACGTAGTTGCATAGCAATTGAGAGCATTGACTGTTAGGGGATATACAGTAATTCAAAGCACAGCAATTGTAAGATATAATACAATAGCAGAAAGGCAATATGAAGAGAAGAGTATAAAGAAATCTAAGCATAAAATGTTTGTTTTGGTGGAGATGAATTCGATCAGAATATAAATAATTACCTTTGCAGCTGGTTTACTGTATATTTAATGTATATGTGATGTCATTTCTGTGGGAAGCCCCGGAGGCTCCCTGAAGCTATCCAAGCTGCTATGTGCTATACGGGTATTAGTTTGGGGTCATCAATTATAGGCATTCTTATGCCTACCGGGAACCACGAGCCAGAACCTGGTCCCCCTCAGAGGTGCAAGGAGCAATGGCCTATGAGCACTTTACATTTAAAATGTCATAATTGCCATCAACTGGGCAATTCTCTCCCCCCCCCCCCCTATAGGAGGTAACGCTAACGAGCGGAAGTGCTAATCGCATGAAGGGTTGGTTGATTGGTTTCTTTCTAGGGGAGTTTTTTTTTTATCTTTTTGGAGGTAGATTGTACAGGTTAACCAGACAGTGGTCTGTTTAGATTCACCTACCTTCCTGGGTCCCTTCCTTGATCAATGGCAATTATAACATACTTTAAATGTAAAGTACTCATAGGCCATCGCACCTGCGCCTCTCTGGCTTCAGGTTCAGGTTCTGGCTTGAGGTTTTCGGTAGGCACAAGTATTCCTCTGACTAATGACCCCAAACTAATATAGCACATATCAGTTTGAATAGCTTCCGGGAGCCTCCGGGGCTCACTCGGATAATGGCGTTTCGTTATATTCAAAGCTGGTATTTTGGAATTGAGGTTATTGAAAATACAGCATTGTATGTCTTAACTTCAAAGAAAAAAGGAGAAATTCTATTGTATATACTGTATTTACTCTCATAAGTCAGAGGTTGACTTTGACAAGAACAAAATTATGAATTTTGCACTGGCTTGCCAGCCAGCAAGCACTGGCATGCTTGTAGCTCGTTGACGTGTGATTGGCCATGACAGCCTCTGGCGGTGATTGGTCATGACAGCCTCTAGTGGTGATTGGCCATGACAGCCTCTGGTGGTGATTTGCTATGACAGCCTCTGGCAGTGATTGGCCATGACAGCCTCTGGCGGTGATTGATCATGACAGCCTCTAGTGGTGATTGGCCATGACAGCCTCTGGCGGTGATTGGCCATGACAGCCTCTGGCGGTGATTGGTCATGACAGCCTCTGGCGGTGATTGGGCATGACAGCCTCTAGTGGTGATTGGCCATGACAGCCTCTGGCGGTGATTGGCCATGACAACCTCTGGCGGTGATTGGCCATGACAACCTCTGGCGGTGATTGGCCATGACAGCCTCTGGCGGTGATTGGCCATGACAGCCTCTGGCGGTGATTGGCCATGACAGCCTCTGGCGGTGATTGGCCATGACAGCCTCTGGCGGTGATTGGCCATGACAGCCTCTGGCGGTGATTGCCCATGACAGCCTCTGGCGGTGATTGGCCATGACAGCCTCTGGCGGTGATTGGCCATGACAGCCTCTGGCGGTGATTGGCCATGACAGCCTCTGGCGGTGATTGGCCATGACAGCCTTGGCGGTGATTGGCCATGACAGCCTCTGGCGGTGATTGGCCATGACAGCCTCTGGCGGTGATTGGCCATGACAGCCTCTGGCGGTGATTGGCCATGACAGCCTCTGGCGGTGATTGGCCATGACAGCCTCTGGCGGTGATTGGCCATGACAGCCTCTGGCGGTGATTGGCCATGACAGCCTCTGGCGGTGATTGGCCATGACAGCCTCTGGCGGTGATTGGCCATGACAGCCTCTGGCGGTGATTGGCCATGACAGCCTCTGGCGGTGATTGGCCATGACAGCCTCTGGCGGTGATTGGCCATGACAGCCTCTGGCGGTGATTGGCCATGACAGCCTCTGGCGGTGATTGGCCATGACAGCCTCTGGCGGTGATTGGCCATGACAGCCTCTGGCGGTGATTGGCCATGACAGCCTCTGGCGGTGATTGGCCATGACAGCCTCTGGCGGTGATTGGCCATGACAACCTCTGGCGGTGATTGGCCATGACAGCCTCGGCGGTGATTGGCCATGACAGCCTCGGCGGTGATTGGCCATGACAGCCTCTGGCGGTGATTGGCCATGACAGCCTCTGGCGGTGATTGATCATGACAGCCTCTGGCTGTGATTGGCCATGACAGCCTCGGCGGTGATTGGCCATGACAGCCTCTGGCGGTGATTGATCATGACAGCCTCTAGCGGTGATTGGCCATGACAGCCTCGGCGGTGATTGGCCATGACAGCCTCGGCGGTGATTGGCCATGACAGCCTCTGGCGGTGATTGGCTATGACAGCCTCTGGCGGTGATTGGCCATGACAGCCTCTGGCGGTGATTGGCCATGACAGCCTCGGCGGTGATTGGCCATGACAGCCTCGGCGGTGATTGGCCATGACAGCCTCTGGCGGTGATTGATCATGACAGCCTCTAGTGGTGATTGGCCATGACAGCCTCTGGCGGTGATTGGCCATGACAGCCTCTGGCGGTGATTGGCCATGACAGCCTCTGGCAGTGATTGGCCATGACAGCCTCTGGCGGTGATTGGCCATGACAGTCTCTGGCGGTGATTGGCCATGACAGCCTCCGGCGGTGATCATGTTATTGGTTATCATTGGTATGGAACGATAAGGACACAGTATTGTGCCAGAGGGGGAGCAGGTGAAAACACAGAAATAAACATACGAGTTCTTCTGCACGACCAGAACACAACCTGTCATTGCTTTTGAGGTGGCAAAACAAATAAAACACTTGAACAACAAAATTTACACAGGAAAATTAAGCTTGATATTAATTAATGAAAACTATAGATTGAAACAAAACAAAAATACAAAAGACAATAAAACTGAAAACACTCTAATAGCAAAAATGACAAAATAAAACATTGAACTCAAAAGTAAATAGTTCTGGTTGTTTATTCCTGTGTTGCCACATGCCCCACCGCATTAACTACTGTGCCGTTTGTCTGTCAACATTACGAATCACCATCGAGAAAATGGCATGCAGCAGCACAATTCTGAACCACTTTTTGGTGACAAAAGTATGTCAGTTTGTTCTATTCGAGTTGTATATTAGTGTGTGTTTGTGTAATTGATTGTTAGTGTAATGTAGAGTAGCTTTGCTGCATTTTAGTGTAGACTCACTCCACCTTATGCCCCCTGCTGTGACAGGAAGTGCTGTATCTTGTTGAGGATGGAGATGTATGTGGCTGTGAGGCATTCATCTGTGAAGTGAGGAGTTTACCTCAGTTTTTCTCATTGTCATTAAGAATTGTTAAGTCCTCACAGCCTCTTAAGATAACTGTTTTTATAGCTTTTCCTATACAGTATAGTATTTAGTCTCTTTAAAAGCTGTTGTAAGGGATTTTTCTGTCTTCTACTGGCCTACAATTTTCTCCACACTAATGGCAGTTACCTTTCTTTTCTTCTCCCATATTTCTGTTTTCTCTTCCAATGTCTTCACTTTTACTTATGGCATCTTTCACTCGGGTATCTTTTACTTGTCCACATTACTTTGCTTATATTCCCTCCATTTTCTTAAAGTACAGCTCAATGTGGTCACTTAAATCTTCCACTTCCTTCTCAAGTTTTTAAACAAATTCAGAGCATTGTTGTTTATCATGTCTCATTTGGGATATCTCTAGTTCTCTTATTCTTTCCATTAATGGATTAATTCTGTTCAACACTTGAATTATTTCTACATTAGCTTGTTCTTCTTTGCCCTACATACATGCCTCTTATTTCTTTGTTGACATATCATACTTCCTTGTGTCATATCACCTACCTCATCAGGTATGGTCCGTTCTCTCATCTCACTATCATTACATTCTGTGATCATCTCTTGGGATGGCATTATCCAACATTTTGCTCTTGCTTTCTCTCTAATCCTAGCATCCTTTATATTTGTTGCTTGCACTAGGTATTGTATCTCGGCGCACTTTGTGGAGTGGTTGGAAGCTCTTCTGGCAGTCAAATGAAATGCCATTATAAAATTACTGTATATTTAAAGTAGGTAATGCATATTTGCCAGGTTAGTAAAATTAGATTTTAAATAAAAATTTATATGGCAGCATATTTATATACATTGGAAAACCACTAAAATGAAAGATTCACATCCGGATACCATCTGCAGCAACAGAAAGTCTGTTGCTGCAGATGGTATCCGGATGTGAATCTTTCATTAAAGTGTGTTTGTCCAGCAAATACATGGACTTGCTTCACCAAATTTGTGGTAGATGGTTCCTTTTGAGAGGGTTTCCACTGTAAATAGTTTTGTAGTTAAATTATGCCATTCTTTTAAACATGTTAGTTTCTATTGTACACAAATCTTGTTGATCTATTAGTTCAAACAGTAGAGTACCCTATTGCACAACACCACTATGAATACATACTTAAAGATTTTGTTCTTAATTATTACCATGTATTAATTACTGTAATTCCATTTTGTGCAATGTTTGGTCTGAAGAACTAGTAAACATAATTACTGCACTCCTATTTGACTGGATTAGTATAAATGATTTAATTTTTATAATAATGTACAAGAGTGTTACCAGTGGGAAAATATACTGTATTAAGAACTTATTTTCTTTAGTAAAGTACTTTACTGTGGTTGCTTTATATATGTGGATAGAAGTTTCAGTTATATGGAACTTTGTTTTCACTATAAGCATTGATAGAATTTTAAAGAAATGCCAGGAATTATTTTTAATTACCTTTTTTGTTTACATTTTAAAATTAGTATCTAATGTAATATTTTTATGAACTTCAGTTTATCATAATTATTAATATTAATATTGCTTTCATGATTCACAATAAGACTGTATTCCTTAAGAGTAATAAATGTCCTCTCTAAATTTCTTTTTCTTCACATTGCACTTGATGGGTCATTATATCTGTAGCAGTCCAAGGGTGTTGGCAGCTGTAGTGTTTATGTATGCTTGGTATGTAATCACAATAGTAGTGATCATGTATGCATAGTATACAAGCTTAACTGTAGTAATCATCTGTACTAACTATACTGTACACTGACAACAGTAGAAATCTACAACAGTAGAAATCAGCAGTATGCACAGTATATAACCACAATAATGGCAATATGTGCAGAGTATGCATTTGCAGTAATAATGAGAATGAAAAGTATACTGTATTTTCTTTAATGATTTTGAGTGAAGGAAATAAAGAGGACAAAGCTATCTCTGTAGGCCCCCTTTAGCAGCTTTCTGTAGCTGATGGCACCGACCATGGTTGATATGCTAGGCCACCGAGACCATCTCGGCCCCCTTGGAGCAAGGGCCATTTCACATTGACTTGCTCCCTCCCTGCCCCATGGAAGGGGTAAGTATCAGCATCATTACACTATTGGGGTGATATGGCCTTAAAAAATGTTAATCATAAAATAACCCAAAACTGTTACAGTATGAAATATTAGTGAAAAACCACCAAAACACTAGTATAAATTTGCACTACATTTCTCCCAAAAATTATCTTGCTTGCCACCAGGTGGAAACAAACCCACCACCCTTATGTAAAAAGCACAAGATGCAAAAAAAAAGAGAGAGGTCTCTCATATGTGGCAATGACCCCAACACAAGTGAAGTGACGAGTGTGGACATGCACCCGAGGATACATTGGAATCAAAGGGCAGATGCCCAAATAGCCCAGAGAACACAGGACACGTGTGGAATTGGGTTGCAGTGACAACCTCTGTAAGAAACACCCGGTTAGTGAGACCACATCCATGTCCCAAAGGATAAGAACAAGAGCAGAGGTGCCTATAGCAAACAGCCAAGCAGTGACAAGACCATTCAGCAAATACATCCTGGATGCAACTAATATATATATAGAGAGAGAGGGCATAAAATAATGGTAGTGGGTGAAGGAGCACTCAACCATAGAGGAAGATGAAAAGACTGTATATTTGCAAATCATGGAGGTACACATGTACAGGTGTGCTTCTTCGCCAGGGCAGAGGAAACAAGCCATGACACTCCACCATAAAGTTAATGCAGGGCATGGATTGAGGCTAAACTAAATCTATGCTAATGAATACTTGGCAACAGCTTGCCCACATGGATGGGAAAAGATATCAGGGATACCATACAAGTGAAGTACAGTATGATAATGAGCATCTAACAGAGAGTAGGATGTATTTTGAGGTCTTACCTGTTTGCTGCCAGAGATTTCTTTGGGGCTGTAGATAGTGGATTTAGAGTTGCTACACCTTGTTTTTCTGCCTGTCTGTGGTTTGAACTCGGTCCTTTGCTCTGCATTTCTGGGGGGAAGGGAAGATGGGACATCTTGTGGCTCCCTGAAGCTATTTTGCTGAGATGGCTGTAAACTGTTAGGTCACAGCAGCAGCAGAGTTCTGTTTGGTCTACCAGGGAGGCCACCCCACCAAGAAAGCACCCAGAAAATCAGTGACCTATATAGACTACTACTAGGTTCAAAGAGACTGAAGCCTCAAAAGTGCCAAACAAACTCCAATGTAAACAGATTATTGAATTTTTTGAAACTAGTATGAGTTTGGTAGCACAAATCTCCCTCCATAAGAATGGTTGGGTGGTGTAGCTCCAGGTCTCCCTCAGCCTTCCATGCCAGTTCTGGAGCAGATGCAGATACCATCGATTGTCCACTGTAGGATTCCCAGGCCAACAACCAACCATGCAGGTCCCACAGCTTCTCGGCTATGTTCCGGCAGTCCTCGACTTGTGGGAGGCATTTACTTGGTATTACTATTCTACATTTTAGTTAACTTCATGACTGTATTTCCTGGACCAGGCTTGTAGGGCACTTGGAGCTGCATGTGCTGTCTTCCCTGTGTACTCCCTAGTGTTGCTCCTGCACTAACAAACGTCTCTCTGGTGTGTTCAGGAGTTTGCTCTTCAGCGGCAAAAGCATTGGTGTTATGGGGGAAGGCCTTACTTCAGGTGTGTCAGGGGTCTTTAGTTTCTGTGCCTAGACCCTTGGATGGGGAGAAACACTTTGGCTAGTTGGGACTAGGCTGTGTCAGTCTACTTGTATAATTCCTGGGACGTTTCCCCTGTGTCCTGTTTTGTCAGTCCTTTGAGCCCTGGTAATCTCCTGTGGGTTTTGGTGTGGCCTATGGGTATCTTCTCCTCTGAACCCACTCTTGCCTCATGCGAGTTTGAGGGCAGTTCGTTGTCCATGCCACAGAACAACGATTATTCTTTCTCCGCTATGCTGCCTGTTGAGTTGGTGATACCTATGACTCTGAGTTCTATGGTGTGTGTGTTCCCCCATGTGGCTTTTTTCTCTGACCCTACAAATGAAGTGCAACCTTATCAGGAAGCTGATGTGACCTAGGACCTAGTAGTTGGGAGCCATCTCTGCAAGATAACTATAGGGAGCCATCAGAACTCATCCAGAAAGAGGCTGTTCATTACATTCAACACTAGGTATTCCTGACTTCTTTACTCTTTTGAGCTCAGGGCTTGGTCTGGGTGCTCTGCCTATTTGCATTAGGGTCTTCCTGGGGTGTCCCTTGGCTCTTTGGTCTGTCTTGTGCTTTTGTTGTTTGTTCCCTGAGTAGTCCCATACCAAGGGCCCTCTTTTTTTTTTTTTTTTTTTTTTTTTTTTGTCTGTCTTCTCCCATGGACTTGCATTGTTCACTTTTTATTTCAGAACTGTAGGCCTCCACTATCAAAGTGCTATTGTAAATTTGCACAAGAGAGCTACTAAGGGGGATAATCCCAAAGATCAAGTATTGAATTTAATAAAACACCATTTTCTGGGAGAGTTTCCCTCGTTGGAATCGGAGTTAACCAAGCAGCTACCTTGGAGGGCCATTAGTGGGACTCGCCACAAGAGGCATTTCATTATATTCACTGCTGGATTTCTGGTGGGGCCTTCAGTTGCTTCCTGCTCTGCTTCCTTATATGCCATGTAGCCGGAGTTAGTATTTAGGTGGAAAATTAGTGAGGGGTTTGGTATATTGTGGTGATGATAGTTTACATTGTTACTAATTTCATTCAAGCAGGGGCTTATTGGCTGCACTTGTGTTTTCTGGTGAGGGTTTTATCAGTTTTGGGTAGATCTTATTCGGAGCTCCTGTTGTCTCAGAGCAAGTCAGCTTCTAGTCTTGACGTGTGGTAGTCCAAAGTGGGTGTCAGAGGTTTGGTGCTTTTCCCTTCTCCCAATGGAATGGCTCCACCACCACTTAACACAGGGAAGTTACTGAGGGCCTTACCAGAAAAGAACATTTCATTTCATAAAAATTATTGATTTTAGCCCTGACAATGGACAAAAAGTTTACATTGCATAGAAAACAGTCTTCATCACTCTACCTCCAATGTATGCTCCATGTAACCATTTCACTTTGGTAAATAAAAATGATACACTAATGCTTTGTAACACTTAGTTCTTTATATATTTACTGTACATAACTTTACAAATATATCAAGTTAAATAATACAAAAAATATATTGGGTAAATAAGAGCATTAAAAAGTTATGCCATATGTTAAACCAGCATGGGGAGTAACAGGTATCTAAAATTGAAAGATATTTAAAATCTGCAATGGGCTTGTCCCCTGACCATTTCAGATTTTAGATGCTTGACAGTACTGTACCGTATACTATAATGTATATATTTTATTATGGCGTGAAACATACATAACAGACAAATATAAATGGTATGAATAAAGTCAGGAACAGAAAACCATGTGGTCACCCATCCAGGTAATGGCAAGACCCATTGGTGCATAACCTGACTGGTTGCCACACCACATTCACAGCACCATACCTATAGTATTTACTGGAAATAAATTTGTCTTGGACATGGCAGTGATGATAATGTGAAAAAGTATTGCAACTCTCAAAATGAAAGTTACTATACTTTAGAAAATTTAAAATAAAACCATTTTAATAATCACGTTAAAAAAAATAAAAAAATGAGCACCCATATGGCTATTACATGCCCACTGTTGGCAGTGAAATATTAAAACTGTAATGAGATCCCAGCTTTGGCCTACAGATATATTTATAAAAATAGCTAATGCATATTTCTTTGGAAATGTTTATTTTCCAGTTACAGTATCAATGGAAGTCCTAAAACTAAGAAGGATTTCAAACATTCATGGCTGCTGTAAGATATTTTGTATAATATGCAATAAAATATGATATTTATATACAATACAGGCAGCCTGCAGGTTTGGTAATGTGGATTCAGTGCTATGCAGGTATGTACTTTTATAACAGTATGTGTAATTACCCAAGTGTAGTTACAGGATGAGAGCTACGCTCGTGGTGTCCCATATTCTCGGCACTATTTGCCATATGATGCTTTGAAACTACTGATGGGATTTGGGATTAATTGGGGATGTGTTCAGTAGTATTAGCATGGAGATGCTGCTCTAAAATTTTAGAGCAGCATCTTGTAAACATTTACAAAAGATTGGAATTTATAAATTATCATCCACAAATGACTATATTTTTGCATTACACAAGACAAAACCATTAAAGATTGTAATGAAATGCCTTTCTCTGGAGGGAGCCTGACAGTGGCTTCCTGAAGCTATATTACAACAAACTAAAGGGTCACATCAGTTGTGGAAGTTCTGTTTTGGCTTACCAAGGACCAGAGTGAGAACCTGGTCCTCACAGAGGTGCAGGGAGTGGGTGACAATTTGCTACCTCACTGGAAAAAGCCTCCAGAAAGTTAACAAAGTTTTCTGATGACTAAAGGGTTCACAAAGAATGAAGCCTCAAAACTACCAAACAACTCTGCAAATAATTCACACAAAATAAGGGATTCACTAACACTAGCTCCAAATTAGTGCTGACTGCTGCCACAATTTGGCCTGACTCCAGCCCTCAGTCAACTTGCCAAGGCAGTTCTAGAGCCGATTAACAACCCATGATGAATCTGTAGGTAAGGAGGAGAAATCTCCTCCCTCCCCCTGGGCTCTGCCAAAAAGAGGTGTTTGATTACATTCTCTGCTTAGTTTCTGGAGAGAGCTCCTCACCAGTAGCTCCCCTTAAGTTAAACAGGCAACAAGATCAGGACTTATCAGGAAGAGGAGGCAGCAGACACTAGAATGAAGAGAAGCACAGCCCAAGGCAACATGACTGGGACCAGGGGTACACTGACTAAACATTGGGTCATTAGAATCCTGTTAAAATGCCAAAACCCCAGCGCCTGAAAATCATCGTAAGAGAGGGAAAATCTGTGTGTTTGTGAACATCATGGGCTCAATGGTAGACTACAGGCTGGCTAGATTTAATGACACTATGGATGACCTGAGAAATGTTAGTCTTGGAACAGGGAGCAAAATAAATGAGGTCAACCAACATAGCATCCACTGAGGCAAAACCAGTGGCATGCAGGTAGTGGCAAAAGGCCACATCTGTACACACAAAATTATGCACCTCCGGCTGAACCAACCATCAATTACAAAGAACCCCTTTTAAAAGACTTGACAACTCATTCTTTGCCAGAAAAGGAAAAGGCTGACAAAGTTTTTTTTTGGCCCTGGTGGGCAGCACCAGGGCCAAAAGAACGGAACCTTCCTCCGGGGAAGAGCCTGACGCTCCCAAACCCTAAAGCTAGAGGCAAGAGCCAACAAAATGGCAGTCTTAATTGACAATTAGTGCCTAAATGAGTGCCAGGCAACCTCATACTGCTGCCACAAAGAAAGACAAATGTGCCACCAAGCTACTCTTAAAATGGTTGGGTTGGCCATTTTAAGGCTAACTTGTTGGTGCTCACCAGGCCACCCAGGGTCAGTGGTCAGGAATAGACCTGACAACTGTGGCTACCAGTGGCCTGGTTCTTTCCCTGAAATAACTTTTTGGTAACTACTGGTACTTCTTGGTGAGTGCAAGAAGTAGCAGAAGTAGCTGCAGCATCATTGTCATAATCTAACAAGGATGAATAATACCCCTCAAACTCGCATTAAGTGAGAGCAAGCTTGACAGGCTGATCCATTTGGACCAAGCCAGAGAATTGCTGGGGATTCTCAGGGCCTGGAAGATGTTAACCAAGCCCATCCGAGACACCCTCACTGAATTGACAAACACCAAAAACAGCATAAATTACCAGGCTATGAGTGGTGACTGCAGCATGTCTTACAAACAAGGGTGTGAACTCTCCTAGCCAAGGGCCCAAACAGAGAATCTAAGATCCTTGAAAAGCCCAAGGCAAAACTTCATAACCTAGTAGTCAGGTCTCTCAGGGGCCAACTGCCTGAATGTACCAAAGAAGCAAACCCTGTGGAAATGCAGGCTGAAATGCCAAAAGAGCAAAGTCCACACAGCAAGCCAGAACCAAAACAGGCACATGAAGTCTTTACTTGCTGCAATCTGACAGGCCAGTAGGACTACAAACTGTACTTTGATGAACGGCAACAGAACTGAGGTGGCTAGTTGACTGAGGAAAAGGGACAAGCTGCCTTGTGGTGGTAATTGGTACTAACAAGTTTCAAGCTCATTTGAATGAATCCTTTGTTCTGTGAGAATCATTAGCAGAGTTGTTTGATGATTTTAGGACTTCATTTTCTGGGAGCCCTCCAGTTTCCTACAAAGCTTCTCTCACTTTCTGGAAGCTTGGTATGATGGAGTAGCAGACTGTCACCTGCTCCCCAGCCCATCTTCTAAACAAAGGCCCAAAGTCCATTCCATGCATCCACAAAACCCCCTGTTTATGAATAAAAAATGGTTTACACATGACTCGCGTCCGAATTGATAACATCCTGAACTGGTGCTTCACTGACGACTTTTGTTCAAACTACAATGTTGAAAATGCTTCACCCACGTACTAAAAATAATCGACAAAGGAACCTAACCAGTACCTAAATATGCACAATATGCTAATATATAATAATAATTTTCTCAAATATTATTATTTTGAATGAACAGCATGTTAAAATTTATGAATGCGTCTTTGGGGGTTGATCGCTGGATAGAATGGACTTGGTCTGACAACGGGTTGTGCTCCCTGCTCCTCTGTGAGGGGGGGGGGGAGGGGGCAGGCTTTTGCTGTGGTCCTCAGTAAGCAAGCAGAATTACAAGGTGAACTAATGTCACCCTGTAGCAATCTCAGCAATATAGCTTCAGGGAGCCACCATGAATACAGTGTAACAGATTTATCAGAAATTAGCATTAGTGTATTTAATATTTGCATGTAAAACTGATAAAAATATGGCAGAGTCCCTGCTATTACTGTATAGTATATGGAATTTACATAAAATCCTGATATGCAAATTAACACTTGTATTGAAATAAATAGGTAAATGGTGTCAATCAAAATATGTAATGTGTTGTTAGGCCTCTTGCTACTTTTCACATCTCTCTTCAAATTATGGGTTTTTGGTTCACAGCGAGTTTTCACTTTTAAATTAATTTGATTTCCGAGACAAATCTTTGTCTTTATCCTGGACTGTCATGCTGTTAGCCATGATTTTAAATTTACTCTTGTAATACTTATTCAAAGTATATTACAGGATATTATCCAACAAGTTTAAATATAAAGAAAAATGCAGCTTTTCAGTTATGCAGTAACTGTTGCAAAACAATCACAAAGAGCAAATAAATAAATAAGGAGAATAATTAATGTTGGGCAACAAGTAAATCATAAAGCTATGGGAGAGACTTGGGGTAACATAGGTATATACCATAAGGCTGGTGGAGAAACTACATAATTAAATGGCAACAGTTGTTGTTGAGGTTCTCAGGTGACAGGACAAGGGTAAACACTTGTCAGCTTGCAAAGTAAACATTTACTTGATCATTTATCAGTAAGATGCAGAGTACTAATTTCATAAAGTTCAAGACTTAACCACATCCATTTTATTATTGTAGTTTTTCCTTGGCAAGGAACGAGAGGTTATCTTCATAATGTTTTAACATAAATAATTAGGAACACCTTACAGCTATGACTATAACAACTCAATTATTTTAAAGTTACAGAAAAGAATGAAGAATCTTCCACAAATATATAAACAAATATTAAAAAAGCCATTATTGAGACAGGCATTTCTTACCAGTTTTCAAAAATCAATTAATTAAAAATTGCTAATTTTTTCTTAGTATTTACAGTCAGAGTAATATCTAACTTTTAAGTTTAAAACCAAAACCAATATATTAATATATCTTGTTATTTTCCAAAGTTATGAAATCTAGCTTGTGCAGAAGCCTGTGCATGAGCATTAGGTCCTCTCGCGTGTGCGTGGGCAATTGCTAATGTGGTTCCAGGCTGAAGAGCAGCGAGCGGGAACTGCTCAAAGAAGTGGCTTGCCAATGACCTACTGGGTGTCAGGTCTTGATAACCACTGGAAGCTATGTCTCCTCGTACAGGATTACTGCAATTAAACAACATATTGTATATGATGTAGCACAATAGGAACTTATAAAAATTGGAAGTACAATAAGTATTATGTATTTTACTGTACAGAACTTTAATTATTTATGTAATGAGAATACAAGTGCAGTACTGTATAGTAATAACAGATTAAAATACTACTACTTAGTGAAATTGTGTGAAATTTTTTGGACTAAAGTATTATACAAGTACTACCTATTGCTATATTTGTTTTCCATTTTTCCAAAGTACATTCCACCCATGGGATAGGAGTGTACAAAATATGAATGGGTGTTTCCCCAAAAGGACACATTTTCTACTACTGACATTTTAAACGGTATAACTGAAACAGGTTAACAACCATCAAATTAACTTAATCTGATGTAGGCCTAAATAAGCAATCCTAGGTCTAACAAATAGGCCTAGGTCTAAAAAAAAGTTAATTTGTTGCCTTCTTTCTTGTACTGGGTACAACAGTTCTTATTTTGTACTGTACTTTAATTCCATCCACATTTGTTACAGGTACTATAATTTTTAGATGACAGGTTAAAATAATATACGGCAATTCATTAATATTTAGACCATGTAAATAGTATAGTGCAATGTTTTTGTATTTAAAGTGGCAAATTGTTTACCATGAAACTTTGGAACTCCTCACCTTGTTGAGTTATACAATAATGTACGGGCTCGGTAATTCTGATTCCAGGAATCTGAATCTCCTAGAACAGTAATCCGAATGAATTCATGTTTGAGTTTTGACCGTTTTAACCTGAATAGGATTACCAAGCATAGACAGTATTATGCTCCTGCTCCCATTAAGAGAGAGTGGGGTTTTTGAAGGCCATGTGGATCACCCTAAGGCTCGGGAACACCCAGTGCTTAGCTTGAAAATCATGAGGGCCTACAACATTGTATGTTGTCACATTTAACATAAGATTTTTTCCCATGTACTTTCAATTTTGAGTTTCATGGTTTTTGTTTAATTTGTTTATAGAAATATAGGTCCTGTGCAAATGAAGGGTTGCCTCTAGAGAGCAAACTAAAAAGAAATTGAGTTAATTTTAAATCATACAGTATATATATCACTTATGCAATTAGCACCTAACTCAAAACTTGATACACATACTGCAATACCTAAACCAAAAATCCAAAGAAACTACATGCCCCCTTAATAGCAAGAAGCATTTGTACATGTGTGTATTGAAGATTTAAAACCTGCCTAGTAAAAATGGTAATATAATAATCATATCAATATTGCCTCTCATACGTGTGTAATATAAACACTATGACAAGCATGTTGTGTGCTGGTAATCTGAAAGATAAAGTCCATGAACACCGAACATTCATAAATAGCAAACAAAACAATACAGTAACCATTAGTAAAGGCAAGTAAAATATACAAGAATAAGGTTAGCAATTCAGTAAGTTAGTCCATTTCTACCCTCTACTGTGCTGCTAGGGGCACCTGATATGTTAGTGTACTACATCTATGTACAGTGCTACAGGATCTACCAACTGTTTTGCTCTACTTTGAAAGATAAAAGAATAGATAGGAGAGAACGGAGGTTATAAATCTACTAATTGCCACTTAAAAATTCTTAATTTCTTACTCATTTTCTCAAAACAGAAATACAAAAATAATGAAAATTAAGAGTTATCAAAACAATCTCAAATGTATATAATTTCTATAATTTGTACAGGTATTTCTAATTAGTTTCAGATCAAGAAGTTAATTATTTTTCCTGTGGGTTTCATTTCAAGGTATCCTAATAGTAACCATTACCAATGAATGTTGGGATTCTATTCTCCAAATAAACAATGATCCTACAGTAATTAAAGAGTTTTGTCTGCTGAAGCTTTGTTTTATAATGACTAATGTTGACAAACATTTTTCAATTCATATTTGCATGCAATAGCACCTGTCACATATTTAACATAATCCTAAACTAGACATAATTCAGTTGCACGAAGGTAACTGAGAACAGTATACCCAAGCCATCACAACTTAAGATTCTTTAATCTCAATTAGTATTAAGTTTGTCATTGTGTTTTCCTGCCTGAAACGCTTTGCGTAATAGTGGATTTAGGCATTGTATGTACTAGCTCTATCTATAAATTCATCAATGTTTGTATCTCACCTTGTATGTATGTACTTTACCTGAATAAACATTTGATTTGATTCGAACAGGGTGGATGTGTGGAAATAAAGATAGGCTTAAAACAGTGTACTGATCACAGGCTAATGTATATACAAGTTCTTGGGTTGATTACACATTACAAGACAATCTGCACAGGGACAAGGGACATTATCCACTCACAACCTTACACACCATTACAGGTGATGACTGAAGAGCTCCCTCAGCTAAAGTCCCCCAAATGCACTGTACAAAGCCTGTCTTACCATCAACATCCACTGCCTGGAAGTAAGGTGACTAGGGATGTCAGCTCATAGAGGCAGTACCCAGCAACCCCTCAGAGCAGGTATTTTTAGTGTGATACCTGGTACAGGAAGATGCAAACTGACTCTAGGGAAGGTAACCTGTCCAAAATTGGAGCAAAATGGAGTGGTAGGTATGTGCAGTATGGGTAGCATAAACACAATCTTGTAGTGCTTATAAAATAGAGTAATGGCCCCTGCAGAACTAATGTTCCAGGAAAAGGTAGCATCACTTGGCTGAAGTGAAAAGTTGTTGATGGGCCCTGCAGAAATGATCTGTGTTGAGCTGGTATAAGATGCCTGGTGTACACCAGGCATAAGACTGGCTGAGGCTCAAGGAGACCTGGGCTGCCATCTGGTGGTGGTCGGCATGGATAGGGTATTTATCCCTTGGCAATGATTGCTTTGTTTACCCTAGGGTGCCTAATTTCTCTCTAGCAGTTGTTTGTTCTCTTACGCCAATGCTTTCAGATGGGTTGTTCCTGGATTTTGATTAATCTCTTGATTCCCAAGCTTCACTGTGCTGTAGAGCGAGCCAGATTCTAGTTTTGACTTTCAGTAGGAACTGGATGGTTCTAATAGCTTGGTGAATTTAACTTAGGCTTGATTTTACTTTGTTCTTACTATGCAATTGCTATAGTTCTAGTGCAAAATTTCCATGACTTAAATGATTCAATAATCTACTGAAAGTGGTTATTCTAGTTGGGTCACAACTGGTAGGTTCTGGGTTCAACTTCCATGTCAGGACAAATGTTTGGGTACGTTTCCTTTCACCTGATGCCTCTGTTCAGCTAGTAGTAAATAGGTACTGGAAAATTTGGCAAGTGTTGTAGGTTGCATCCTGGGAAAAGTTGGTAGCTGACAAGCCTAGCACACTTTCTGTCCCCAACAATTAGAAACCACAATCACTGGACCTTTCTTTGCAGCACCAGACATAAGTGTTGAAAGTTTTAAGCTGATATGTAAAAGTATTCTCCCGATAGTGCATGGATGAAAAAACAACAAAATTGCACGAAACATAAGGTATAAAACAAGGAATAGGTATTACTATTATATGCTTATCAAACATATAATAGTAGTTATATTACCACAATTATATGTTGATTACTACTATTGTATGTTTAATAGCATGGGTGCACAAGTCAGCTGAAGGAATGAAGTACACTTCCAAACACTGGTAATAACATTACCAGTATTGAAAGGCCCATGCATTTCATTGATGGTGTGAGAGAAAATGGCATGAGAAATTAGTTACTAGTAGCATTGTTCTACAGTATATATATTTTTTCCCCTACAGAGAGATGTAACCCATCATAAAGTAGCAGGTAAAGAGAGGACAAAACACTGTACATGGTTATTGCACTCATAGTAACCTACCGTCCATGAAAACGTTTCCCGTGATTTCCATGTTTTCTTTCGTTGTGCAATCTATGTGAAAAATTTATTTTAATTAAAGAAGGAAAAGGGGCAATTAGTGTAATGAAGGGATTACCTACACAACTCATAACTGGGAGGAATGAGTAAAGTAATACTGCAGACATCTGGAAAATCTTTGATTTAAAAATTACTAGAGAAAAGAGTATCACAAGAATATATTACTGTATTTGATATCAAATAAAAAGTTACTGGTTAATGTAAGAAATTAAAAACTATTATAAATACAATGTTTAATAAAAACATTCATACTATGGTACAATATATATTATCAATAAAATACTTCTAACTTTATTAATCAGTCATACCTTCAGCATGATAACTAGCCATTCTTAAATATGGCACTTTATCATACTTAAGTTATTAAAGATCTTCAAGAAGACACATCTTACATTATATAAGGTACTTACCTGTGTGAGGAATGATGAGGCTGATTTTGTTGTACGGCTAACGGAGTAAAGACAGAGGGAGCGTGAGTTGGACCCGGATTCGATTGTCGTACCCCCATCACCACACTGTTCACACCGTTTACTGTACACAAAAATATATTACCTATGCATGCACACTCACAGACAAATGTTATAATTAAATGGAACTAATCAAATGTCTTCTTCACAATAGTTTACTTAGTGTAAGAAGCTCTTGACTGGTTTGGGAACATGTACAAAAATTTGGGCTGGGAATGACAAGAGTGTTGACCAGACCACATACTAGAAGGTGAAGGGACGACGACGTTTCGGTCCGTTCTGGACCATTCTCAAGTCGTCTTCGGTCCAGGATGGACCGAAATGTCGTCGTCCCTTCATCTTCTAGTGTGTGATCTGGTCAACATAATTCAGCCACGTTATTGTGACTCCTCGTCTGCAATGACAAGAGTATTTATTTTATATCTCAACTATGTGCACAGTAGCTGTATGTAATATTGTAGTGTATCACATGAACTTGGACCCAATAAACTCTGCCCTGAAAGAGTGTGTATCATTACCCTAAAATATATTCTACACATGCAACTATTCTCAATAACCTGTCTAGTTCATTAGAAGACAACAAAGATGTTACAGGATTCAAAACATCCAGAGGCATAATTATATACAATTGCAATTTTATGTTATTTGATTCAGTACTAACAGAAATTTGGTAGGTTTTTTTTTAACAAAAACAACCTATCCAAACCTAACCTAAAATAGCCTAATAAAACTAAGTCAGTAATTCATGTGATTATAATTGTTAGGAGATAACCAATCTGGAAAGAAATATTTGAAAATAACGAAAATCATTCTGCCTGTTAGACACATCGGACCTTGCATACTTGGTCAAGAAGTTGTCAACACCAGACTGACATCAGTCAACACCAGACTGATGTTGACTGGTGTTGACTGATGCCAGTCTGGTGTTGACAGTGGCTTTAATCAGGCCGAAACGTTCATCTTCCTTTCACATTTCTCTGTGGATTTTCTGCATAGATATTTATATATATCTATATCTATAGATATAAATATCTATAATATATATCTATAGATATGTCAATATATATCTATAGATAGATCTATTGATATATCTATAGATATATGTCTATAGTTATATCAATAGATCTATCTATAGATATATATCTATATATAGATATATCTATAGATATAAATATCTATATATATATATATCTACATATATATATATATATATCTATATATATATATATATATATATATATATATATATATATATATATATATATATATATATATATATATATATGTGTGTATAAGTATGTATAAGTAAGTGATAAAAAGTCATGTAAGAAAAATAGGATTTCGCAGCAATCGGCAATCTCCATCAATGTGCATAGAAAAATGGGCAACTACTTCCTCTTGTCTTCATAACAGGTGCCTACACCCAGTAAACGCTAGCAACTGTTTGCAACGGGATCACGTACAACCTCGAGCATTAGATCCAAAAGCCAGCAATTATGACTCGAATCTTCATAATCACACCTCACATGCATTTCTACATTATTTGAGAGATCCACATGACGAATGTAGAGCCCTGCTGCTGACTAAAGTTACTATGGTAGAGTACATTTTATACTTAACAAGGTTGCAAATAAAATACTGTAATTCATTATTAACCAAGATGTTTAAATTACATTAGCATCTTGCAAAATACATGCATGTATTATTACAACCAACAAATTACATAATTTTTGTTAAGCATTGTGTGACAAGTAATATGCACATCAGAAGCCTAGGAAGATCAACCTTCAGCAATACCCTCTCTGGAAAGACCACCTCATGTGAAGCAGCATGGTATGCACCTTTAAGTTATTTCAGAGATTTCTACTGTACTGTAGTTACCTTCTGACAACAAAGACTAAAAAGATCCTTCACATAATTTAACTAACACATTGATAAAAAATACATACTGCACCAGTAACCATAATAAACCTGGTTTCCATTACCTTGAGTACTTGTGTGAGTATGTTCCCACTGGGCATGGCGAACATTGTTGTTGCTGCTCACTACGGTGCATCCCTGGGGAACACGCCACTGTCAAAGTATAAACCAAGGTTAATTTGCAATGTATATTGATTTTCCAAGGGTGAGCAAATATTCTGTACATTTATCTGAACAAGTTATATTTTAAGGCTTTGTAAAGACCCCTCTGAAACTATAAAGGAATTGCTATAAAATTAGGGAAAATATTATTGCTGTAAATGTTATGGGACAATGGTGAAAAACAAATTTCTATGATACTGTGTTCATTTTCCAGAGTCAAACCACTGCATTCTTGGTTTAATTTTTATATAAAAATCTGCCACTTGCATCAGAAACTAGGCTTCAAGTGTGCAGTATATGAAAAATGGTTATCTGAGCAAATTCACTTGGTGAGATATCATGCCCTTATGCATTATTCTTCTGTCTACAGGGAAACAAACTGTTTGCTCAAGCAGGGTGACATTTGAGACACCAGTGTTCCAATAAATTTTCCAACTGTCCCCCACAGCACTATTTAATGATTTATTTATATACAAGAAGTATAATGTCCTCCCTTCTAACCTTAAAATTGCTAAGAAGCACCCAAGGAAACGCTGAGCATTGGGAAAACCTTGAAGTTGCAAGTTTCAGGTTATATACACACAGACTTGGGAGTTAATTCAGGTTCACCTCTGGGGATGAATTAGGACACAGCCCTTTTCATACAAAATCATAATACTAGGGGTTGACAAAAGAGCTTGTCAGTCCAATCATGGACAAAAGCTGTTAGACTAGCAGTAGCAAAACTGGGTGAGGAGATTATATCTGAAAGACTAGTCAAGAAGCTTGGTGTCCAACACAAAGCCGCTGCAAACTGGGAACCAGGAAATTCTCTGAACTCTCAGGTGAATCTGAACATGACAATAAGCTTCTTAGAGATCCAGACACAAGGCAAGAGTAAACTGAATGAACCTGACTGATCACAAGGGGTGTGATGACAATACCACACACCAGAAAATGAAGAAATGACAACGTTTTGTTCCAGCCTGGACCATTATGAAATTGTCCCTTCATTTAAAAACATTAGAAACTTACCCCAGTTAATACCCATTGTTTTGTGTCCCATTATGTGTTGAAACATCTAATACCCTGTTAATAACCCCTTTGGTATACTACTTCATTAATCCATTTGTGAGCTTTGATCATGTCATCCTAAATCTTCATTTCCTTTCTATGTTGGTGGTTAAGGAGGCCCTTCGTTTAACAGAGAACTCTCAGGTTTAAGTTAGTATGGCTAGAAAGTAGGCAGAACAAAGGAAACCTTGGAGGGCATTCTTTCATATTCGTTTTCCCACCTTTTGGATTCCGCTTGATTTCTCGACAAAGTACTGGATCTCCTTTTGAGAATCTTTCCCTGAAGATTTATCTTCCTCTCGACACCACAAGCGTAGTTCTTATCTTGTAACTACACTTATGTAATTACAGATTCCTCCTTGAATCCTTACACCACAGTGGTAGTTTGCCAGAGTGCAGCTTGGTGACCTTCATGTTGCCAAGTTGTGTCTGGTATAGGCCTCTGGGTTTGATTTTGACTTTCCTCTTACTTGATCTGTTTACATTATTAGCACCATCATGATCTAATGATAACAGTTTAGAGAGTTTCCACCCGAGTTTGTACACAACGTTGACCTACCCAACAGTTGCCGATCCTATCTAGAAGTGACTTGAATCTTGCCGTAGGAAACAACTGAGAGTACTGTACTGTGTTACTAGGAAAAAATGATATTCATGAACTTAAAAACTTACTACAGCCTCTCTGATATGTGAGTACAGAAGGTATGTATATTTAGTTATCCATTATATTAGTCCTTAAATATTACATAATGCAAATAAAAATGATAAAATTTTAATAGTATGAAAGACAAAAAGTCCTTATCACCATCCTTGGTGTATATATATACTGTAAAATTGACCTTATGATGGAAATGAACTTCGGATCCCACAGCTTCCAACAATGCTGGAAATTATGCCATCCTAAGACAAGAGGTGAAAGAATCTCACATTTTTATTTACATCCATTTCAAGAATGTCAAACAATTCAGAAAAAGGTGAATAAAACAATTAGGGAAGTACTCACAGCATACATTAGGATGGGCTTCCCTCCATTCAAACCCGGGCAAACAGCCTTCACCTGGTCGGCCTGGAACGGTGGCTGTAGAAGACCAAATTTAAAAACCAAAATCAGAAATTAAAGCAGGTCAGAAAATACTCCCAACATATGCACATACATTACACATACAGTACAATGATGCTTTGTTCATGCGCATTTGAAATATACTGAGTTTTTCATTATCATTGATATTTTCTCTTGTGTGACAACAGAACACATCATAATTTATACTACATAAATACAAAGTCCCATTTTGGAATACAGTGAAGTCTCGTTCCAACAGATTGGCATGCAGTAACTGGGACTAGACCCAGTGATGGGATTCAGCCGGTTCACCCAAATAGGTTCTTAAAATTTCCAGAGTTTACTGAACAGGTCCTTATTCTTTTCAGGCCATACATTGCTTTCTTAAAAATGATTATACAGTATACAGGTATTTTATAAAAAATGCTGAATACATAATTATTAATTTTATGTAAATGTGAACTGTGCAGGTATAGTATAATATTTGAAATGGTCAGCAGGTTATTACGTAAACAAAAAATTATACTTTTACGCAAGTATAATGATGTGGTACGTCATGGCTTGCCACTCAGATATTATGCAAGCGGTACACAGTGCACAGGTGTAAAGCTGGCTGGCTTCAATTTTCAGTACACCCATAGACATAATAGTGGTTGGTCGTAGTCAGTGTGTTTCTCCTGTTCCCATTCATATATTTTATTTGTTCCATGTACACTGTATACGTAAAGTAATACTGTAGTTTACTGTACTTTTAACACCATATAATTATTTTAGTCATGAGTAGGTACAATACTGTACAGTAATTAGATTTAATAATTTTTATGTTGCAATACACAACACCAATGATAGCAAACATTTTCTTATTCTGCTGTTGTATTCATTCTATCGGTAATTCTGTAAACAGATTTGTTAAAACAGATCTTTGTTTCAGTCCCAGTCCCTTTTTGGTTATGATTATACTGGACCTCGGAACCCAACAGGCTAAGTGTTGGAGGTACTGTAGCATGGGTGACCATCGGGGGTCCAAGAACATCGAACTGCGCTCAGGAAAGCTGCACATAACTGTACCACCATTGAGCACAGAGGCAGCCATATGAACAAGCTCACGCACATACACCTGACAAACACCCTACTGTGGAGCCCCACACCTTCCCAGAGAAACAATGCATGATTGTGGAACTTCATACTCCCTCCACACCTAACCAGAAACCCAGATTTACAGATAATATCCATAACTAATAAAATCTAATCCCATCACTGTTTCATAATTCAGTGTGGAATTATATTCGAAAGAACACATGTTTTCACACTTCCTTTTGAAGATATAAAATTCCATTTGAGTATCTTTTGTACTGTAATTCTTTGACTATTTCAGTTAACTAAAGTTTACTGTACATAATGATGTATAGATGTCATGAATGCAGCTGTGATATCCATTTAAATTTTAGTAACAGTATTTCTGCATTTAAATAAAACAAATATAGGAAGAAAATGAAATTCACTTACGTGTGCAGACTGGGAGTTCCGTGCTGGGGTTCCATCGTCCGGTGGAAGAACCACATATGTAAAGTGGAGTGGGAGGATCCTTGATCATGACGTAGCCTGGCCGGCACTCAGGCCGACACATCTGCCCCCACGGCAACTTTGTACACACCCAGAGCCCTCCTACTAAATGCCCAGGCTCTCTGCACTTCACACCACCCAACACCTTGGCTGCTGTGTGGTTACAGCCCACCAAGTATGTATGTTTAATCATGGTTTATATAATGGTACCATATTTAGTAGCTGCATACATAATTTATGATTACTGTAAAGTATGATCTATTTCCTAATAAAAGAATGGATCATTTTCAGTGTGCAAGTTTAGGATGACAGTACATATACCCTGTAGTTAGAAAAATCAGAAACATGGGAGAAAAAGATTACCTGGCTTGAAATCATCAAGTAATTTGGCACTAATGTATTTGCTTTTTTGTGTAGGATGAATCTATTCGGGAAATTGTTCAATGGTAAGGTACAATTTCATTGTACTACACAATAAACCAGCATTGAATATAATGAAATGTCGCATTTTGCAAGGCCACTCCTGGCAAGGCCGCATTTAGCTTCCTGTTGCTACAGCCTGGCAATGATGCCAAAGTGCCTATCAGGGGGGACTAGGACTAGAAACTATCCCACTCAAAAAGATGAAGGTGAGCCATGGAATCAGAGATCATAACAGAATCAAGCACAAAGCCAACCAGAAAGCCAAAGCAACTGATTGAGAAATTTTGTGACACTGAGGAAAACAACACAATCATTACTGCAGACAAAAAACATAACCATAACATGACTGCCTGACATCAGAAGGCAGCACAGGTGACCCATAGTCTCGGCCACCTGCTGCTGCACCATTCATGATCCATCTGAGACAACCAGCCTACTCCCAGGGAAAAGGATTGAACAAGGTCCTACTGAGTGGCCAATTGGAAAGAGGTGTTCCATTACATTCAATGGTGGATTTCTTGGAAGGCTACCATCATGAAGGCTTGGTAAAGGAAGCCAATCATTCTGCGAGAGAGAACCAACCAGAGATGAAGCCCAGAATCCATCATACCCAGCATGTTATCTCGGCCAGAAACCCCATATATGCTCTCGCAGGAAAAACACCAGGTAGAAGCTGACACCAAATACCAAGGACAACAGTGCCCAGTAAAACCACTACTACAACACAGTCAAGAGACTGCTTGTTAAATCCAAGACAATATGGTCCCCGTATCAACTGGGCCAATCCAGCTCAACAGCAGTCTGATCACCTTGACCCAGTGCCAGCTGGCCAAACACTGCCCAGGGCCCAGAAGGCCAAACACGGCCTCAGGGAAGGCCAGCAGTCCAATCACAACTTTAGGGGAAGTGACCAATCAGATAAACATGGCTAAAGAGGACATTAATAAACATAATTAATATGTTTTAATAACCTTAAAACAAAATGCCAGTAGTGTACTTTATGATCTAAATAATGACAAAACTTTAGGCCAAGTTACAAGTTGTATCAAGAATCTGTAATTTATCAATTAATTGGATTACAGATCAAATAGATATCTGGATTACTATATTACTTTGAAAAACTTCATCAGACTGGGAGACAAGTATTAGTCAGTACTGTGGATGCATGCATCTTAATAGCAACACTATTAGTCTAATCCCGTCACTTATTTATTACTTACTGTACACTAATAATACAAATGCACAAGTATTCTGTACCCACAGTGACTCAAGAGTTCTTTACTGAACACCAGACTCGTTCCAATTTTGAACTACTGCAAAATACTATACTAACCACTGCACTACACTGTGTGTGGAGGAGACGACGACATTTTGGTCCGTCCTGGACCATTATCAAGTCACAATCCACTTGATAATGGTCCAGGATGGACCAAAACATCGTCATCTCTTCAATTTCTAGTGTGTCATTTGGTCAACACATCACCTGTAAGTTACTATTGGACATGACAGACTATTCTTTACTGTAGGGATGCAAACTCTTATCACACAGCTTCATTGCTCATGTTATAATTTGACTCTGGTCTGAGTTCAACAAATGACACAATCTTTGCAGTGAGACCATTTATCACAACCTGCTATATAAATGTTTAGTATAGTGTAACTAGTAAGTTGTACAGTATTTGTCATGGAAGATAGTTTATTGTTAGCATTTGCAAGTTAAGCAAACATGTACTAAATGAAACAAGACAGTTCTGGCGAAGTCAATGCAAAGTTCTCTACGAGTCTGTAGGTTAGAAAAAATAATGGTTAAAGGATATTAATACACTATTATACTACAGTACAGTACTATACTACAGTACAATATTAAACTACATTACAGTATTATACTGCAGTACTATATTATTAAACTACATTACAGTATTATACTACAATACAATATTAAACTACAATACAGTACTACAATATGTACTACAAGATTATACTACAATATACAGTAGCATTATACTACATTTTGATCTCAAACTCAGCTATTCAAGTGGCTATAGCTGTATATGTTGCCATACTGGTCTTTTGGGTGGCAACTGGTGGTGGAAGTGGCAGTGAGCATTTGGGCATGAGTGCACTGCAAACACAAGTCAAACACCCTGACGTTGAGCGCGTGGGCGTGGGGACGTAATGTGTGGCCTGGATGCTGAATCAGACTACACATGCAAGCATAAATTCTGGCAGGGTTATCTCTTCTACTAAAGACATGGATGATTATTCATTCAAGCTCAATGCAATTCAACATAGTATCCAAATATGATACAAATTAATAGGAAAATATAAAATTTAACTACCATAATTAAATCAAATGTATCTACAAATCTGGCTATTGAAAAAATTACAAATATATTTAAAACATATGGTATTCAATTATGTACACACAATGAGAATGGAGCATTAAGTTTAAAGAAATGCTGGCTTATGAGCCGTCCCTCTACAGAGCTTTGCCGCTGGTACTGCAGTCTTCCCTACGTTGTAAGGTCTCTGGACTTGTGCAGCTTACTGGGAACCGGGACCAGAATTTGGTTACTTCAAAAGAGGTAATGGGGGCATGTAGGATCTTGAAATCAAACATATAATAGAGGTGAACTGCTAAGTAAGTCATTTGGCAAAACCAAACAAACCACATCTCTTAATAAGTTTAAAAATAAGTGAAGAAAACAAGGTAAACAATAGTTGGTAATGGACAAATAACCAAGGTTCTAACTCACCCAGCTGCCAAGGATTAGCAGCCCTGGTCACCTAGAGCCCCAATCGCCACCTTCCTCACTCATGAGCAACTCAAAACTCCCCCAAATAGCACAGGAAAGAAAGGGATAACAGGATAGGACTGGGAAGTGACTGAGGGGTTGCTTATAAAGTAGTATTTCATTACATTCAATGCACCATTTCTCTATTTCAGCAGCTCCCCGATCTTGCTCACAATGGTGCCTCAGAGGATAGCAATTTTGCCGAAAGGAAACAAGATGAAATGTTTTACTACGAGAGAAGGTAGAAGATCAGGGCTCGGAGAAGAGAAGCTACAACAGAGCTTCCCTGCCCAAGCATCATAAAGCCTGCTCAAGGCAAGAAGCATGCAAGGAGGAACAAGTGACCCACATCCTACTGACTGACGGAAATTCGGAGTCTGGAGACAAAAAACAAAAATGACCAAGAATGGTACCAAAGTTGCACAGAGGCAAACTGCTTGCAGTTTGCCTCTATGCAAACTTTGTGCAAACAAACAAATATAAAACAAATATATAGGACTGTGCAAACAAATATATAGGGGTAGCCTGGGGAGTCAGCCCTAGATGAAAGGTGGGCCAAGCTCTAGCTCTCCACCCCAGATGAGCTACAGCTTGGCTTGTTTACAAATTGCTAGCAATAATTTCTCTTGTTTTTTTTCATTATTTCATAAAGAGCAGTGGTTCATTTTGTTTTACCTGTGACTTTCTGAGTAACTCACCTCAGTTGTAGGTTTGATTTCAAGATTCTTATATCCTACCCTTGCTTCTTTTGAGGAGACCAGATTTTGGTCATGGTTCCCGGCAGGCCAGACAAGTCTCGGAACCTGGTGTGAATAGGAGATCCTGCAGTACCAGTGCCTAAAGTTCTGGGAACTGCTTTAGGGGACCAGCACAAAACAGAAAATAAATTATATAAAATGATGTACCAGACAATACTTTTCAGTACATATTATACTTATTCAGTGTAGTGGGCCAGCCATCATGGAATTTTAAATTTTTGATGGCATTCTTTGTTAATATCAGTTATCCATGCTGGATCAATCAATAATTCAAAGGATGAGAAAGAAAGTTTTAGTGGATGCCAACCATGATTGCAAATCTGGTCACAATTGTCAAGTCCAAATTTGTGAGTAATTGGAATTTGCATGAATTTAGACCACATTCACTTGATCTATTTAATCTATCCAGAGAACATACCGGTATCTCTATATCATGCAAATATATGCAGCCTTTATAATTAAGCTAAACTTCTCTACTACACACAAATGCATGGCATAATAAAACAAAATTAAATTATTCGCAAAACAGTTGTTTAATTCAAAATTACAATGAACACTGTCCATCACTATGAGATTAAAGGACGCATTAATTATGAATCTATGTAATGCATCTAGCTAGGTGTATTACAATAAAGTAGACAATAGTGTTTTATACACCTGATTTAAGTTGCTTGACCACTCATATCATATATACAGGAGAAAGTAAACTTTAGGTTCTTTCTGAAGCACGCTCTGCTCTTTAGTTTACACCTGTGGGTTACAATTTCCAGATAGGCATTGAAAATTGAAGGTGACTTTGTCCAGGACAGTTTTCATGCAAACTGCCTCCCCCTTCCAGACCTAGGAGTCATTGAGATATCTATATGAACCTGATCTTCCCAAATGATTCTTTTTTCTGGTGGTAAACACATGAAATATAAAGTTTCCGGGCATCTCTGCTTGGGGTAACACTTCAAGATTCTTCTCGGCTTAACTGGAGTTGGAGTGTGACATGGTTGAGTTCCGACTCTCATGCTCCCCTTTGCCTCTTGGATAGAGCCAGAGTGTGGTCCCAGCTCTCAGTAGGCCATGTCAAGGCTCACACACACACCTCATATGATCAGTAGGCCTGACTGACTGCACTTGCACCGTAGCACTGCACAGCTGGTCAAGGTATACAAAATGCCATTTGACTCCAAGTGACCTTCAGATAAGAATCTAATAGCATCCATCCATACCTTTCTGGTCATCCTATGAATGGCTTGCCAACACAAATGTCTGATACTGTAATGGCAAATAATGCTATTAAAAACTTTATTTACAGGGCTGGTCTACTAATGTACTTACCCTGGACTGTGATGGTAAAGGAACACTTTGCCCGGTTTCTGTAGGGGTCCATGGCAACATAGTGAACTGGATACGTCCCGGAAGTTAGACGTCTGCCTGGCTCCTAAAGATGATAAATGATTGAGGAGTTCACTTTCATTGCCATCAGTGTTATGAAGATAATGAGCATACTAATGAAATACAGAACACTTAATTTTAATGTTTGTAACATTTTCAACTGCCTTCTGAATATGATAAGTTATATATTAATACTGATAGGATTTTGTTGTTGTTAGATTCAGCTACTCGGAACAAAAAGTTCCAAGTAGCAAGGGCTACGGTGATTCCGTAATTACAGATAGGATTTAAATCATTTATATGAGGAAGCAAAACAGTGTAGGAGGGGATTTTAGCACAATGGAGTAATAAACGTAAAGAATATGTCAAGATGAATAATGTTTTGAATGAATGTTCTGAAAGAGATGCGAGGATAAGGCAATGTGTCTTCTTGGGGAGCTTTTATGGCTGAATTCTGATCTGTATGAACGTCTCCACATTTATGGCTTCAATATGATGAAAAAGAATTTCCTATTATCTCTCTTCCATTAAGGCTTGTAGAGTTTGAATCTGCTGCCTCTTGTCAGAGTTTTAAAGATTTCAATGAAATCAGCTTTATTTGCAAAAGTTGTTAGTCCTGGTGTGAGAGTTGATATAGTACTGGGATGATTATCATCATATTGCTAATCATCTTCCAGTGTGAAAATGTCTTTTTATTGGAAAGCTCTCCATGTCTGGATATAACAGTTCCGATAGGGAAGTACAAGGGACTTCAATTGCAGAATGATCACTTACTCCCTTGTCCTTGAACTCAAAAGATCATTTGATTATTTTTTTCTGGGAGGACCACTTCAGTAGCTTTCCAAGCTAAGTGCTGGTCCAATCAAGTTTCTGGGAGTTGCACCAGGTGAAAGACCCAACCATCTACCATGAGCAAAGGCCAGAATCTTTGTCTCTACAAGGCAAAGGTATCTTGGTGATCAAAAATCAAACCAAAACTGCAAAAAAACATCAACAGAAAGCATGAAGTCACCTGAGGCTCCACCTAGCCTGCCCTCTCACTCACTTGCTTCGTTACAACATCAAGGGCACAGAAGAGTCTGGCAGGACCCATCCTTTGCATCACACTGGATTCTTTGTTTTGCCAGTGGCCATTGCTTTGTTATTGTCACCAACATTGCATGTGCTTATCTATTAGTGACTACGGAGGAGTGAGATCTAGCTCTTTATGCACTGCCCTCTAGCCATTATACCTGGCATGCTAATTCCATCTGCTTACCACTCATACAGGGTACGAGATTTTCTTTACATTGCTGCAACTCAACTGCACGTCTAGCTTCCACCGATGTCCTCTTGTCCTACCTCATTTAAATTTAAATAGGCTTCCTTTGTCACACCATCTATTCCCCTTAGGATCTTTTATGTAATGATAAAACCCTTGGTTTCTTTTTTCCTCTAAGGTTGTAAACCTGAGTTCCCTCAGCCAGTTTACATAGCTGAGCCTTCTTAATTCTGGTACTAGTCTAGGTGCAAACCTCTGAACTTTCTCTGAAGTTTATTTTTGTACTTCACAAGGTGCTGGTTCCATACTGGTGCTGCATACTGTATTTCAAGTTTGGTTCCACATTGGCAGTGTATGCGAACTTGAAACTTGTTTATATTCTTAAATGATGTTCTTATGTTTGCTAATTTCCTGCACACTTCTGATGTTAGTGTCAGGAATATATCCACTCACAGGTCTTTTTCTCTTTTTGTTTCTTGTGGTTTCCCATGTCTGTGTCTTGTTTAGATTTTTGAGAGAGTTGTTTCCGCTTTCCCATTCATTTCCGTACTTGACTCTACAGCTTTGATACAGGAGCTGTCTGTTCATGCAGGGCCACCTTTTTTCCTGGTGAAATATTGCTGGCCTTTGTGGGGGCAGAGGCAGGCCTGTGACCTATAGAATCAACAGGGTGTCTTGGCTTTTGAGACTAGCTGTTCACACTGGCCTTTACCGTGGTGACGACATTGGCCCATTTTATCTTCATAGCTCTGATGGTTTTTGCCCTTTGGCTCCTTTTTTTTTTTTTGATGTGGCAATCCTAGCTGCCGAGGGAATTTGTATTCTGGCCTCCTCTGCCACCTCTACTTTGACTATCAAAAGGCTGGTTCATCGAGCTTCTGTTAGTTTGGCTTCCAGTTTCCTCCATTGGTACTGGCTCCTAAGTGGCATCAGGCCTGCATGCACCAATGGGTGGAGGGTTGATGTGTGGTATTTTCAGAGGCTGCTCCATCTGGAGCTTTGACAGGGGTGGTGGAGGCCTTCTGTTTCTTTTATGTTCCCCATATTTCTTAGGAATATGCTTGGAGGCCTGATATCCCATGGTTCAGGGGTTTCCCTGCTGATGCCTCATCTATTGCTGCTCATTCCCATGTTTTAGGGGAAGGATGTTGGCTCCATCTCAAGGACCTTTTCATCTACAGGGTGGAATAGGGAAAAACAACCTCAGAAGTTAAGGGTTGCCAAAGGGTCCATGGTTGCATTTTAACCCTCTCTAAAGTTTGGTGCCTGGCTCAGACATTTTCTATTATGTACAGAACTTGTCCTATTTTGCTTTGATTCTAACATTTTCTTTCTTTTTTGGATAAAAACAAGGCATCTGCCTTTCAGAAGGGTCCTTTAGCCATTGATGCTTGGCTTGTTCAGTTGGGGGTTTCCAGGCTTCGGGCTTCTGACAGGCCAATTAGATGTCGGCCTCTATATTTGGTTGTGTGAACCTTTGGCTTTTGGTCTGGAGCCAAGGCTCTTGTACTCTTCGGTAAGTCCAGGCCATTTTTTGTTTTATTAATCTTTTGTTTCTCTTTCATAGAAGCCAGCTTCTGTTATGGCACCATTGTCTTCCCAGAAATAAAGCATTGAATATAATGAAACATCTTTTCTGACGGGCCACTCAGTTTCTTCCCATACCTATTCTGTTGTTTTCTTTTCTGTAGGAGTTGGGAGGCTTTAAGTTCTAGCCGCTTGTGAATGAGGTGGGTGGCTAGTGAGAATCCCAAGTAGCCTGGGCTGCCATCTGGCAGTGGTTGGAAGCTAATAAGAAAGGAGTATTTTCTCAGCAGCACTGATTGCTTGCCTTTTTCTCTTCAGGGCTACAAATGACTTTATTTTGATGTGCTATTGTTTTCTGGTGGTATCTTCTTGTTTTTCAATTGATCTCTGATCCCTAAGCTCCCATCTTCTTGTACTGAAAGCCAGATTCTGGTCATGGTTCCTAATAGAATCAAGTGAGTTTCAGAAGCCTGGTGTAATTTTGAGCTCAAAACTACCGAGTGGCCTGCTAGAGACCAGAATTTTCTTACATTCAATGTTTAATTTAAAATGGGTTGTAGATGATATCCACCCAGTAAACAGTGCATAATGAAATTCTCTACTGTAAGAATACACGCTAATTCTTAACTAAGATTTAAGAAATTCTCTGTGAAAGATGCTAATACTAACTAGAGATTTCCAGAGGTGAGCAACTTCCACATTATCTTTAAAGACTGGCTCCTTCCACAATACTTCAGAGCTCACTTCTCCATCTGATAAATGAACATTGAAAGACTTTGGGCAGCCAAATACTTGTGGATCCTCTTTATCTGTGGATACAAATATTAAATTACTTCTCTTTATTATAGAAATATCGTGACACAGTAAGACAAGATATATCTCAGTGAAAAATCTGTAAAAATTTCTTCCTCAAATTTTTCATGCCAAATAAGAATTTATGAATTTCTTACAATCAGTGGCATTATAAACAAAAACTTAACTAAGGGATACAAGACTGACCCACAACTTCCACAGTGAACGAGCATGCAGCAGACTCGTCTGAAACTGGAGAGCGGGCAACAAACGTCACCATTGTTTTCCCAGATGGCAGATCAGCCTCCAGTTGCTTTGCCCAGTCAGGAGCGGCATCAACATATCTGGGTAAATACATAATGAGATGTATTTTCTACTAAGCAAAACTAAATTACTGCACTTAGTTGGAGCAATAAGAATTTCCTTATACAAATGCTAGGTGATATACAGTATACTAACAGCATAATTTGCAATATCAAATTAATACAATTTCAAGAATGAATACAGCTGTAGAACAATAACAACATAAAACTGACGAGATTTACACTATTAACTATATTGCTTTAGAAAGATATAAATTGTTGGAGTGTAATGAGTTGAATCATTACAGCGACCCCAGATTTAATGAATTAAAGCATATTCACAAATTTATTATCTTCTCACAAATGTTGTGTATACTACATAAATTTGTACCTTACACAAAATTCATATACTGTAAGATGACATGCTCTCTATTAACAGTATCAAAGCAAATATATACAATGCAAAGCAAACGAAGCAAACAGGTGTGCCAGACGTTATATGCATACACAGTGCTGTATTACAAATACCTACAGTATAGTACAGTGAAAATGTTAATACTGTATATGAACAGTATTCATATCATGACTTGTCTACACTATGTTTGGGGGTGAAGGAAATCATTTTTGTTGGAGGAGGGGAGGGGGAAGAATAAATTGGACATTCATTATTATTAATTTACACAATCGTTTCCTGCTGGAAGTATTTATAACAAAATCTAGGGTATTAAGTGGAAGCCACTGTCAGACATATGATGCTAGGAGACATTACTGTACTAGGCAGAAAAGACAGTTAATTGAAGAAAATACAGAATGCATATGTCAATTACAGGTGTCAATTAGGCAAGAGGAAACATTAGTCTACGAGTATTAAATATTTTTTGCTAAAGTTGAATTTAAAAATACAAAAACAATGGAAAATTTACATTATTCAAACCTTAATATAGCAAGAGTGACTTACAATATAAGTAGCTATAGCAAGGGTAACACTAACATCTATACAATACATACAACTTTTTTTGGCAAACCATTGTGGTACTGATTTCCACAGTGGTTTGCTACTGTTGGTAGTGTATAAACATGTAAACTAACAGAACAGAAACAAGATACTGTACTATAATCCAAGCATTTATTGGTATTTCCAAACATTCTCAAGGGTATGTCTTGTAATACAGAACAGTACAGAGAAATAGCTTGGAACATCTTGTTTGTGTTCTCCTGCGAGTTTACAGGATAACTGTACCATACATGAGAACATTACCTCTTCAACCAGGCCTTCAGGAATGATCCACATGTCTAACTGTATAGTTATGATGTATTCCCCATGTTACACATATCTAACTGTACAGTTAGGGTACAGTATTTGCTATATAACTTTCAGCAAAAATTCACATAATAAATTATATTTACAGTAATTATAAGGCATATTATGTCATTCTCATCATAGTTCAAAAATATATGCAATATTAAATGGTAATAGACCTCCCCCATTTGCTCTCATGCAACCTTAACTAAGAAGCAGCAGAAAGGTAATTCATTCCGATTCAATACAACAGAATCCTTCCGTGTGCTACTGTCTCTTCCTCCAACCACAATGGAAACGTTACCTGGTATTTCGAGTTACATTCCTTTCACAGTAAACCCGGGGAGAACAACAATATTTACAGTATATCAATTTTCATTGTTACTGAATATTGGAAATTAAAGTTTGGATTTCTTCGAGGAAATCAGATTAGTTTGTATGCCTTGAGTGTTCATGTCCCATATACTCTTTAGTAACTCATTTGTTATATACAATATAAGCTGTTTGATATAAAATAGAAATCTGCTTTATATATGAACATAGCCTTGTATTCATATACTGTGGATGGTTGATATACAATATATGCATTGTGATCAATATATCTTTCAGTGTATGTAATCAACAATGACAATATTCACAATGTGATCAACATATGAACAAATCCACAAGGGCCGTGAAGAGGGTTCGAACCTACGTCCGAGAGGAATCCAGACGCACCTTAATCGACTGTACCACGACATGGTAGAATAAAACAGTTGATTAAGGCGCATCTGGGATCCTCTCGGACGTAGGTTTGAACCTTCATCACAGCCCTTGTGGATTTGTTCATTTGATGCATCACGCTATTGTGATTTCTGTATGTGATCAATATATCTTTTAGTGCATGTAGTCAATAATGACATCTAGCTCAAATAAACTAGTTAAGACCGGACATGTGCCAATCTTTCGAGGAATTCCAGTCCTCTCAGAATTTGGGCATTTTTCACTACGTACTGCAACTGGGTTTTTTTCTGGTCCCTGATGATAGAACACATCTTTGTGCACATCAGACAAAATTATAAATAAATTATGTATTTTAAATAAGTTTACCTAAAGACAAAATAGAGTAATAAAAGATGCAAATTTAAGGAGAAGAGCTAATTAACTTAACTGTATGATCTGTGTCGACAGATCATACAGAACCACACCCGTACATGAATAAAACGAACAAGCACGTACAGTACACTACTACTGTAGAAGTGGTGTACTACAGTACACTACTACTGTATGTAATATAAAACAAGCGCTGCTAAAACTGCTACACTAAACTGATGCTAAAATCATTTATAAGCAACCTCATTGAACTCCTTATGATTTGACTTCTTGAGGATTTTTCCCTTCAAACCTCTGCTTCCAGGTCTCACATGGCACTTCCCAGCTTGCTCACTTTCCTCAAATTACTGTACTTAGTTTTTCTTTCTCGTTAAGATACCTTCCTTCTTTGTTCCTAGTTTAGCCTGATTCCTGCTGGCAGAAATCTTTCAACTCGTAAATAATTAAATAATGAAAGAAAATGGATCAAAAGTGACAAGTATTGAGAGGTCTTGCTATATGAGTGTAGGAGAAAAGCACTTGGTCGACACACTTCCAGTTGCAAAAGGATTATATCTACAACAGAAAAGATGTCTCAAACTGTATTATGCAATGTTTTCTTAAATACTTCAGCAAAGAAATACTTAGCAACAATATTAGTAAATAGTAAAAACTTTGAACAAAATACAAGATCTTGAATTGCTATTTTTATGGCAAATTGACTTTGTCTATGAAGTAAGCTTGGTGGAGCGGACACCACACTGTATTCATCATGAGTTTAATTTTTGGGGGGGTTTGGGATGTTGCCTCCTAGCCTTGTTGCCTTTCCTACATACATGTAGGAAATGAATTATGCTGAATGATGAATTATTGAAACATAATACAGTATTATTACATAGTTGCAGACTTTTTTGTATTTTGTGCATCTTGTTATTTAAACAATAATTTTTCCATTTGATGCTTACTAGATGTGATCTAATTCAGAAAATTTAAAAAACGGTCATGATATTATGAGTTGTTTCAGTGTGCTATTATTTATTTCCTAAAACTTCAATAATTTTTATGGTTAAAAAGTTAATTCTATAATATAACTAGTTTAAGCAATAGAGTATAAAGATTTGACTTTAAACTTGAAAATAACGTTTTAGGTACAGAACAGTACAAGTTTTTAAAGAAATGAGTACAATATCATTCTTTGGAAACTATGCATATCTGCATGCCATTTGTTTAAAATAAGCAATAAAAAAGCAACTAAAGCAAATTAATAAGAAGGTACATTTCCAAGAATGGAAAGGTGATACAGTACACAGGTACAGTATAAGGAAGCTAAAACCAAGAAAGTGGAAGCTGGCCAAAATATATTGAAGAGGTGAGCGAGGAGACAAGTGTCCTAGACGAGATGCTTTACCTTGTGCTTGTGGGGTCCTGGTCCTGCTCTCTCTTCTGCTGGACTCCTGAGACATATCTACAAGACCACCTCCGTCAACACTCCACTGAGGAGGCTACCAATCCTAAGGTCCTTTATTCTTAAGTGTTAACACACACATCTCTCAATATATCATGAGAACAAACACTAAAGTTGCATCCTGGTGTAACTTTTCATTTTGATAATAAGGAATGAGTACAGATTACGGCTAGACCAGACCACACACTAGAAGGTGAGGGGACGACGACGTTTCGGTCCGTCCTGGACCATTCTCAAGTCGATTGTCTCAAGGATTGAGACAATCGACTTGAGAATGGTCCAGGACGGACCGAAACGTCGTCGTCCCCTCACCTTCTAGTGTGTCGTCTGGTCTACATACTTTAGCCACGTTAGTGTGACTCATAGCCTGCAGATTACGGCTATTTTGTTTTGTTTTATCCTTTTATAGATGAATACGAGCATACAGATTTTATTTAATCAATTAAAAACAAAACGGCTAATATTTGATGACTGGTTTTGATCAATGCACACAAACCAGGTATTCTAGGAAAAGTGTCTTCTCCACAGCATATGGAGGTTTTCTTAAAATAAAAAGAAGAAAGGACCTTAAGATTCTCTCACTGCATGCAATCACTATCCAACTACAGAAACCTGGTATGGTCTACTGTCAATGGCAAATTCCTTTTAGATAAGAACTAGGAAGTAATGTGGAATTTGGAATGTTGTACTGTAAATGTAAACACAATATCAGTCTAATTAGTACTGTTAATCTAGATCAGCAAATGATCAAACAAACTTACTAGTTGCCAATATTACTACAAAATAACAACTTGCATCATACTAGGTTTTGTAAATATATTTCAAACTAATAACTTCTAAGGACGACACCAAAAACTACACATTCAGAATCTATGAATAATGAGTAACAATATTAGATAACAACATTCCAAAGACAAATACATATTATAATGTGCGTGATCTATTCTATAAGTGCAAAGACTAACAAGAGGTGCACTATACAAGACATTGGTATACACTATACAAGAGGTGCATTGTACAGGATTAATAAGAGGTGCACTGTACAAGGCTAACAGGAGGTACACTGTACTAATGTAGAATGCAGATACTGTATACATGGAAAATGACACTGGACAACAATTCAATCTACAATACTGTGTATTGAGTAAACAATGTTTGCCGAGTCACTAAACCTTATGAATGAAGAATTAAGTAACGTGTTGCTGTTAAATATTTTTTTTCAGCATCACTTTCAACATATTTGCTTTAAAATTAAAACATAATGACAGACCCATGATAACTCAACATGGCTAGTGAAGTCAGGCCTTGAGAATGGTTCAATGACTGGTGGATTCTGATTTCCAGGTCCTTTTCTGTATCAATCTGCTGTATGGTAGTGTTGTTTATATGATAACTCTGATATGCACTGTTATGCCCTACATACAAGGTCTCGCATTTTTCAATATTAAAAAGTATTTACCAATCTTTGACCATTTATGGAGCTCATGAAGAGCTCTTTGTAAGGCCTCAATATCATTTTTGCTTCCTACTTTACCAGAGATCTTAGTATCACCTGCAAATTTGATGCAGTTCATAATATTCTCACCTGTGTCATTGGTGTGTATGAAAAAAAGGATTGGAACCAAGTTGGACCTTTACAGTACCCCACTCAACATATTTCTCTAGTCATATCAATTTCCATTTAGGATGAACATTTGCTTTCTGTGTCTTAACCATTGTTTTATCCATTTGTGTTCTTTACCAATTATTCAATGTGCTTGTAATTTTCTTGCTGGTCATTCATGTGGTCCCTTGTCTGAATAGTGGTTACTTTCTCCAAAAATGTGAATACCTTTATATTTTTAATAAAAACTATGTTCCAATGATTTTACTAGATAGTGGGATGTTAGGCTGATCGACTGGCAGTTTTCTGCTGAGCTTTTTATTTTTTTTAAACACTGGAATGACACTTGCAAATTTTCAGTCTCGAGGAACCATCCCTTTGACCAGAGATTTTCTTAAAAGGAGTTTCAGTGGTAGACAGTTCATCTGCCAGTTCCTTAATGACTTTGGATTGAATTCCATCCACACCTGGGGGTTTAAAGCCTTTAATCTGTTAATGCTCTGTGTAGTTGTTTCACATGTTATGAGAATATCCTTAAATTCATTCTCTCCCCCTGCTTCAAACATTTGTATGGGTATTAGAATGTTGTCTAATCCTTCTAGTGTGAACACTGATGCAGTCCTGGCTGCCTTTTTATTATCATTTATAACTTGGTTAGTGTCATCATTTGGTCCTAAATATAAGACTATCTATTAGTCCAGGTAATTGAAAAAATTAAATGCATTCTAAATGAAGAATTCTTCTGCATGTGAGTAACAACTGTGTCAACCTTAACATTATACGTAGATACAAACTGCTTGACTGGGTACTGACCTGAACCAATCCACATTGGCCTTGGGTTGGGGAAGCCTGACGTAAGCAGTGTTCTGGTGAGGGGCAAGGTCAACCGTCACATCACTGGGACACTGAATAAATGGCTTCAGGGTGTCTATGCATAAGAGAACACAGGGAAACTATCAGAACACTTAACAAGCCACTTTAAACTTAAATACACTTTTAATAAACTTTATATAATTTAATAGTACAGTAGTCAATAAATTATGTTAATAATTTAGTGTCATATTATGACACTAAATAAATTACGTTAATAATTTATTATGTTATTTGTTCATAAAATATTATTTATAATATATTACTTATAAAACAAATGTTATTTGTTAATAACATTTTAAATTATTTTAGAATTTTATTACTGTAAAAAAATTTTGGGGTAAATTTCACTTTTCACTCTTCCACAAGACTTATTCACATTAACCTTTTTCACAGTAGGGGCTGGGAGCCTCTGGCGACCACGTGCCACTGGGCTGACATGTACGTACTGGGTTGCCAACCACCCGATACCCAGACGAGCATGATAAGTAACAGTGTTGACCCACACCCGACGTGCGACGAATGCACCTCTTTGGCGACACCCTTCCATGCTCTACCTCGGCTAGCATTGAGCATTTCACCGCTAATCCGCCAGGAAGATTTAACAGGTGAAATGAGGGCACATAATTAAATAATTTACAAAGAATTCTATGATATTATAATATATATATGTTGTGTTTATACTACAGTAATAACAACAACATAGTCAGAAGATCCTAGGATTCTATAGTATAATAATATGTTGTGATTTATTGATTTCAGCTTTCCCAACATCTACAGGCTTAGTTCAAACCTAACATTCAACAATACACTAATAAAATCAAGATTATGATACTAATTAACATAAGTCATCTGGCCCATAATTTGCTCCTGCAGCCAAATACAGTTCATCAGTCTTACCTTGGCAAGTGACTGGATTAGATGACCACATTCCAGAATGAAGGCAAGTTGTATTGGCATTTCCATGGAGTGCTGCACCCCTGGAGCATGAGAAGGTGCAAGTGGTGCCCATTGGGTACGCTCCACCTACCAGTTCCTCTGAGCAGGTCATCTCACCGTGTAAAGGAGCAACTATGACTGGGCAGAACACTGTCTTATCTGTGGCAAATTACAGTAATATTTCTGTGTTAGCGGGTCATATATCATATACAGTACTGTATAACCCTCCTGCCCACCTACCATCCAGCCTCCTGTCCCGCTGAAAATGACTAAGTCTCCATAGCTTGAATTTATGACCTCTTGCTCTTGAAGTTGAACATTTCAATAATTCTCACTTCCCTTTCCTGCCCCCATGGCATATGACACAAGTAATGAATATGCAAGACTTTAATAGCTATCTACCTGGAAAAAATCATCAAGGCAAATGGGGGGGACCTTCGACAAGCTGCCAACTTCCTGTCCTCTTCGAGGCCACTATGGTTAGTGGCCCTCGGGTAAATCAGGTAAAGGTAAAAAAAAAAAAAAATCTTTTCTTGCACTGTGTTTAAATCTAGAAGCTCTTAAAACCATAGGTCCTGACTTAAGGCATTAAAGAAGTAAAACTACGGAGCTGTGAGAGCTGCTGGGAAACAGAATTACCATTAATATATGGCAAGTGTTTCTAAATGAAGTCATACTTTTGTGGCAATCAGTACTTAGAAAAATATTCCAAATGCTTACAATCACAGGAGTGTAGATCCTCACTAAGTGCATAATCTTCTGAACAGCCACAGTGATAGGATCCCACACTGTTGAAACAGTCCTGGGCACAACCAGCATTACTCTCTTCACACTCATTGACATCCCAGCATTGGTGAGCAGCACTGAAAACATGAACAATTATTTCTATGAGCACATTTCAAAATATTCACATCTAACACAACCATATGCATATGAAGTACTGCAGAGGTACACCCTGAGGTCCAGCCTCATGAACTGACTGATTACTTTGCTTCCCAATGGTGAAATTCCAGTAACGGTCACGAAGACTGTTCAGTTGAATGCTAGTAGGTACTATCGTTATCCCACCCCCATCTTTCCATTAGAGGCAGGGATCTTCAAGACTGCCATAATAATAGTGCCAAATGCACTTCAATGTTCAAGAGGACACACCATCCATCTCATGAGAAGCGTACTAGCCCCTTCGTATAATTCAAGTCATATTTACCAGCCAAACCCTCCACACCTTGGTTGCCCTAAGGGGAGTACGAGTGAATGTGTTGGTATTGCATGGCAATGAGTGTGAGGAAGCAGGAATTGAGTATGAACAACACAAAAGGATACACTAAAGCACATGGCAAATGTCACCAGTTTGTAGGTAAGAATGATTGTGTTTATTTACACTGAATGTGACAAATCACAAGAAGCACTTTATACCTAGCATTAAGAAACAGTGAGGTGCTACTATGGATAATTTCTTGGAGTGTGACAGTGCTCATTTCTTTGTAATGATATATCTGTAAAGTTCTTTTTCAATACTGTACTATTGTAATTTCTCTCAGATTTAATACCTTCCCATCCCATGAAATGAGACAGATTAATGATAATAACCATATTACAATTTTCCCTATTTATATTATACAGTGGAACCTCGGGATACGAACGCCCCTCTTTACGATTTTTCGGGTTACGAATGAAATTTCGTAGGAAAATTTGAATTGGGTTACAACCTTTGCCTCGCCTTGCGACTTTTTTGATACACGTTTGGGTCGACTGAGCGCGTGGTTCCTGGTGGCACGGGCACCTGCGCTTCAGTTTACCAGATCCGCCCGCTTAGTGACGATCGCGCTTGAATTCTTTGTAAAGAATTTCATTGGTTTTGTGTTTTTTGGTTTTTGAACATAAAAGTAATTATTATCATCACATCATGGGTCCCATGAAAGTTAGTGGTAAGGTTCAACCTAAGAAAGTAGTTGTGAGTAGAGGCAGTAGAGGCCCTTCCTCATTAAGAAAATGTGTGAAGTATGGAAATAACTGCAAAGTTTTGTTGAAAAAACTCACCCAGATAAAGCTGTAGCAGGCTGTTGCATTGACCTTTATAATGACAATGTGATGTCTCATTACAGACAAGTGTTAAAATGTAGGAAAAACAAGTGTCTTTAGACAGATTCTTAGTAAGGCAAGCAAGCAGTGAGCCACAACCAGGTCGTAGTGGTATGCCTGCAAAATGTAGGAGAGAGAGAGTACCCCAGAGAAGTCATCACTGCCTGATGTTATAATGGATGGGGACTTCCCTTCCCTTCCCTTACAAACACCTCTCTCCCCCCCCCCCCCCTCTTCCTCACTGTCTTCCATACGCCAACAAGAGTCGTCAATAAAGGTAAGCTATAACTTGTACATACTTTAGTACAAAATATTTGTGTGTATTATGTATGAAATGTATTTTGAAGTTAATATTTTTGGAAGTTTGGAATGGATTAATTCAATTTACATTATTTCTTATGGGGAAAACTCGTTTCGGGTTGCGAATTTTCGGCTTACGACCCGTCTCTGGGAACGGATTAAATTTGACAACCAAGGTACCACTGTACCTGTTTTTATAAATACAAATTAGTATATCAGTATTATCTTAGAAAAATTGCTTCTATGAGAGGTAGAAAGTATCAGAGCTATACGATTCATATATACATGTACTAACACACACATCATACTTACAAATATTCTACCTATAGGTCTCATAAGCCATTATTATTTAGTACTTACTCAGGTTTTGACTTATAGCCGGGCCTACAGGAGCAGTAGAATGATCCAGGGGTATTAAAACAGTCGTGCTGGCAAGGTAAACTAAGGCATTCGTTTATATCCAGACAAGTATACGAATCTTGAGCAATTTGATACCCTGCTGGGCACCTGTAAGGTGAAGAGAAAACTTTTCTCAAATTGTACTTCAAAACAATAGTTATTTTGTATGCAGGCGATGAGTCACAATAACGTGGCTGAAGTATGTTGACCAGACCACACACTAGAAATTGAAGGGACGACGACGTTTCGGTCCGTCCTGGACCATTCTCAAGTCGATTGTCACAATCGACTTGAGAATGGTCCAGGACGGACCGAAACGTCGTCGTCCCTTCAATTTCTAGTGTGTGGTCTGGTCAACAGTTATTTTGTATCTTTTCCTATAAAGCTATTTGAAAAGAGAAGCCCAGTAATGTGCTTTCACTGAATCATTATTCACAATATTTATTGTGAATGGCTACACAAATGTAGCAAAACACTAATTTATAATGGTACAGCATATAAATTACAATGGTACAGAATATAAATGATAATGGTGCAGTATATAAATTATAATGGTACAGCATATAAATTATAATTTATAATATTACAATACAGTATTATATTTATAATACCTGTATTATATGGTGCAGAATATAAATCATAATGGTACAGTATATAAATTGTAATGACACAGTATATAAACTATAAATTAGCCTTCCAAACTATTTTAACAAATATAATTTTAAACAAACAGAGGTAAATGCAAAGTTAATAATGCAATAATAATCCTACATATGTACAGTATATTGAGGCAAAATTGGTCGCAATTGAGTTTAATGTAAACGACTTGCTAAGAGAATATTACTTAATGGAAATAGCTCACGTGCAAGTAAAGGAGCCTTCAGTATTCACACAACCATGTGAGCATCCTGCATTAGCAAGGTTGCACTCGTTTATGTCCTCACAGGTGATTCCGTCCACTCCAAGCCGATACCCAATTCCACACTCACACCTGTCACCGTAAAATACCAGTTAATTTTACTACTGTACCTGACTGCATCAAATTACTATATGTACTCTATCATTTTTTATATAGGCAGCTAATGTACTACATACTACAATGCACTGTATTGTATTAGTACTGTACATTAATACTATATAAAATGTACTACTACATTAGTAGTACATTACTACTAATACAGTATTACTATTATTTGGTTTGAACAATTGGTTATATTAATAAGTTACATAATGTTTTGTCAATTCATTTTTTAAACATTTATGCTCTGGATAGCAGACTGTAAAGCAATGTAAAATTAATGTATCCTGCCAAAAGCTTACCTGTATGATCCTCTTGTGTTATGACAATTGCCTTTACAACCACCATTATCGTCAGCACACTCGTCAATATCACGACAGATGTGTTTGTTCCCAAGTTCCATGCCCAATGGGCAGTGGCACTCGTAGCTTCCCTCCGTGTTGACACACTTGTAACTACAGCCACCATTGTCAATATCACATTCATTAATGTCTATGCAAGTATGTTCATCGAAGGCAAGGGTAAAGCCAGTAGGACAAAGACAGGTATAATGAGCTTGATGGTTGGCACACTGGTGAGAGCAGCCGCCATTCTTGATGCCGCATTCATTCACGTCAAGGCAAGTAAGGCCATCTACGCCCAAGGTGAGCCCAGATGGACATTTGCACTTGAAAGATCCTTCTTTATTTAAACACTTATGAGAACATCCACCATTATCTGTTTTACACTCGTTCTCATCTTCACAGGTGTGACCATCCTCCGCCAGTATGAATCCAGACGGGCAGCTGCAAGTGTATCGGCCATGGAGGTTGTGGCAGTTATGTGAGCACCCACCATTGTCATCTCCACATTCATTTACATCTGTGCAAGTAGTATTGTCATCTTCCATTAAGAGCCCAGGAGGGCATGTACAGTGATAGCCTCCTACTTGATTTACACACAGATGTGAACACCCACCATTGCCACTTATACATTCATCTATATCAAGGCATCTTGTGACATCTAACAGTCTGAAACCACTGGGACATGAACATTTGAAGGATCCGTGCGTGTTAGTGCACTGATGTGAACACCCTCCACGCTCAACATTGCATTCATTAATATCATAGCATGTAAGGTTATCTTTTCCAAGCCAGTACCCTGGAGGGCAAGAGCATCTGTGACCTCCATTATCATTATCACAACTATGACTACATCCTCCATTGTTCTCATCGCACTCGTCCACATCAACACACTTTCTCCAAATAACTTCATTGAAAATATCAAAGTTAGGAACTTCTTCATCAAAATAGCTAAAATAATCATGAGGAGCCTCAAGTTGCCAGCCATCGGGGCACTTGCACTCGTATGTGCCTGGAAGGTTGACGCATAAATGACTGCAACCGCCATTGTCTTTTAAGCACTCATCTATGTCTTGACATTCCAATTTCAGGGTTTGGTTCACTGTTGCCTCAGAAAGTTTCATTCCCTTAGGACACTGACATTCCACTCCACCTTCAGTATTAACACAGAAATGGCTACATCCCCCATTATTAACTCGGCATTCATTGACATCAACACACTCGTGAAGATTTTCAGATTCGTTCTCTTGTTCACTGAAAGTAAATCCTTCCGGACATTTACACTCATAGCCACCCTCAAAATTATGACACTGATGAGTGCAGTTACCATTATTATCCTGACATTCATCCACATCAATGCAAACATGGAGCTTCTCAAAGGCACTTCCTTCCTTCAGGAGTTGTAATCCTTCAGGGCAGAGGCATTCATAGCCACCATCAAAATTGGAGCATGTATGTGTACAGCCGCCGTTATCTTTTTGGCATTCATCAATGTCACTGCAAGCATGTTCGTCATCATGGAGGGTTAACCCAGGTGGGCAGTGGCAAGTATACGAGCCATTGTGGTTGGTGCAGAAATGTGAGCAACCATTGTCAGCACCACACTCATCAATGTCAATACAGGTGTGGTTATCTAAGGCAAGCTCAAAACCATCATGACAGAGGCAGTCGTAACTGCCTGGAAGATTAAGGCAGTCATGCTGGCACTCTGACAGCTGTAGGTAGCATTCGTCTATATCACTGCAGTGAAAGTCATCCTCCAACTCATAACCAGCATAGCATGAGCATGAGAATGATCCTTGGTCATTCACACATTCCTGTAATTTAAACAAAATAATGTAATTGCCAGTGAACTAAACAAGTGTTGCCAAGTACAGTAAAATATACATATCAATAACACAACTGTCCATCTATGTCTATGGGAAGGTATGTTGTACATATTTCTTTCTTAATATTCTGATACATTTTGATCACATTCTGAACCACCCTAACTTGTGCATATTTAAGTTTTTATATTTTCCTGCTCCTTTGCAGAAACATTTTTACTGTGGTTAGACATAAACAACAGTCAATGAATGACAGCCAGTGGCTGGGTAACTGGACAAAGATTAACTATATAAACTATACTTGTAAGTGGAAACGAAAGCATTTTTAATAAAATATTTTGCACTTCTTTGCACTTATGCAGACAAGGTAATACTCAGATACAGTATATATATTTTGTTACCTGCTGACATCCACCATTGTTCTCAGCACACTCATTGACATCAAGACAAGATACATCATCAGACGAGATTGTGTACCCTTCCTCACAGTCACAGAAGAACGAGCCTTCAAAATTTTCACATATCTGTTCACATCCTCCATTGTTGGTTGCACATTCATTCAAATCTAGAAAAGAAAGCATGTACATAAATGCTAGATGTAAAAATTGTGTTCAATTTTTACATTTCAATACAAAAATACAAAAACAGTTCAATACAAAAACAGTTCAACACAAAAACAGGCAGCTGTCTCCCTTCTTCTAGAGAGGTTATCTTGAGATGATTTCGGGGCTAAGCGTCCCTGCGGCCCGGTCCACGACCAGGCCTGAAGCCCTTCCCAAAATATAAAGCAGAACCTCTTCTAAGGTATATCTGTCATAAGATAAAATTCATGAGAGGCTGGTGGGTGTTACAAATCATAAGTGGACCATAAAGGTTTTGGCTCAGGAAGCAACCTAGGGAGCCATAAGTCACAAAATGCAATGATTGAAAAGACATTAAAAATAACTGTACTTCATAGTTTGAACTCTCGCTATCAAGACTGAAAATGTAGTTCCATAAATTATAGCTTGTGAGCATAACTGATTCTTAAACAATAATTGGAGTCATAAAAATTATTACTGTATTTAACCAACTGTCATCTAAGAATACAAAATATTTTATACATTTAGTTAGCACTTATAAATCTGTTTAAGTACAATAGTTATTTGTATAATACAATCTTCCAAGTTCATGAAGCAAAAACCATGACTGATGCATATTACCAAGGCATGAAATAAAGTCAGGTGAGAGAATAAGGCCTTCAGGACAGGTGCAGGAGAATGATCCATTGATATTCTTGCACCCATGGGAACACTTCATACCATGTAAGCATTCATCAATGTCTGGAGAAAAAGAAATAAAGTGTTAAGTGTAATAAAATGTCCCTTTCTAGGATGCATCTAGGAAGCTTACATCACCTGCACACATCAGAGACTGAACATTCCAGGCATCCAGAAACACACTCAGAACACTAAAGCCTAGTACATTATCACTCCCAGCTTTCTTGTCTGTTTCCGTGTACCAGGGTGCTTGCGGAGGTCAAAGATAAACTTGCCGAGATGAAAACCCCCAAAAAAACATACGAAAATTCATAACTCTCAACCTTTCTCCAAGTAATGTTTGGAAACCTTGAATCATGTGATTGACGCCCAGACAATCCTTCCGGGCCATGATATGAAACTAATCATAACACATGTCAGAAGCAACAAAATTTTCAAACACTACAGGACTACAATAAAACAATGCACTCAAAAAAATAATGACTGACCATGGCATGTCTTGTTGTCTTTGGAGAGGATGAAACCAGTGGGACAAGAGCAGTGAGCACCACCGCTGGTATTGATGCAGTCGTCAGAGCAACCAAAGTTATCCTCTTCACATTCATCTATATCACTGCAGTCATAAGTGTTTTCAAGCACATATCCAGGGAAACATGAGCAGGAGTAAGAACCTTGCTCATTGCTGCATTTCTGTAGTAAGATAATTGATAATTAAGATATTTGATACTCAAATTATCTTGACAAAATGTGGCGTGTTTATCGTTGGGAAATTGGCCTATTTCAGAGGTAAATTTTTTTTGGTTTTCAACTTCTGCCATTTAATGACAGTTGGAGTATTATTTAGTTAGCAAACTGGCATTTTGCAGAACATAGAACTGGAGCTCCTTTGTTTGCCCAGTTATTTCTCAAAGAGAAGGGTGTTGATTTTATTAAATGTTACTCTTTTGTTTCCATTTTCCAGGTACTGTAACAAGGACATTTGAAAAATTTCCTGTCACTATTTGGGCACAGGTCAACCAGAGCCTAGCAGGAATATTGTGTCCTGCGTGAAAACAGCCTATTTCTTGCTGGCAGAAAACACGAAACGGAACGTACTGTACCTGCACCGCCCGTTTGTTTGCCCAGTAACATCTCTACTCTCAATCAATGTCACAACTTTTATTAAAAAACCCATTACAAAATATATACAGTATATTCATATCAATGACAGATCTGTATGCAAAAACAATTTAAAATTACAGAAATCATATATCTTCCTTTTGTTGGCATGATAGTGAACATGGCTGGCATGTACACTATCATTTGATATTCTTTGAGCAATAACTGATCAATGTACAATTTAGAACTTATTAACATTGGTTGATACTTAAACACTGGCATAAGAAAGCATACCTTTAGATGCACTTTGGCAACAATGTCATTTACAATGACCACACACATGATGTGCTCTATAACTTGAGCAATAAGCATACAATTTCAGGTCATACAAAAATGAATAACTATGGCACTACTGTATATACACTCTCAGGTTATACAAAAATGAATAAATATGGCACTGCTGTATATGCTTAGCATACTAAGCACTATATAACAAATCAGTAAACAAAATATGCACCGACATGATGATAAAAAATTTAATTTGGTACTGAACACTGAAACTACATTGCAAAATAAGTTTCACCTGCTCACAGCCACCATTGTCGTCAATACACTCGTCGTCATCAATGCAGGTGACGTTGTTGGCCATGACATAACCTTCTTCACAGTCACACTTGTATGATCCTTCAAGGTTTACACAGATCTGTTCGCATCCTCCATTATCATCTTGACACTCATCTATGTCTGATAAAAAATAATGGTAAGTGAGGAAGTATGTAAATTGGGAAAATATACTTTTAGTTTCTTTGGCTGGCACTAAAAAAAAAAAATATGGCCTCGGTAATGTCCTCAATATTCCCTACAGAAAGATATACAGTATATCATTTTGTTTTACTTTGTATTATAAATAACTTAGGTTTAAGTTTTTTATTTTTAGTCATTTCGTTTGAATATATAATTTTGAATGTATGTTTTACTGTTTTTAGCAAATTTTGTGATGTAAATATTTTCTTTTTAGCACTGATGATGGCATTTAAGACTAAAACATCTGGCATTTTAAATAAATTGATTAATATGTACAGTACATCTTTTCTCTCATTATACTGTTTACAATTAGTCAAAATTCCCAAGAAGAAAACCCATTCCTTAAATAAATGATCATAGTTTCATAAATAATCAGCTTAGACCTATTATACACTTTGTTAATCACAGGCAACAAAACATTAAAACAATGAAATATGCAATTATTATATCCTCTTACCAATACACGTGACGATGTCAGGTGCCAATGTTAAGCCACCGGGACAGGTGCAAGTGAACGAGCCCTCGGTGTTGTTGCAACCATGAGAGCATTTATGGTCCTTTGCGCACTCATCGGTATCTATACAGAGATGCCACAAGAAATGTATTTTAATGTAAAGGAGACAGAAAGTGAGAGCATCACTACCAAGTTATAAGTAAGATGAATTCTCAATATGTGAGGGATTACCGATCATCATCGTGTGGGTCTGGGAATAGAAGAAGAATTTATTATTATTTAACCATAGGTTACGTTCACGAAAACACTTGATCAATGTTAGCACCGTTAAACCTCTATGAAAACTCATTAAAAGTATTCTAAGTTTACATAACATATGGTATTCAATATATTTCATCTGATTACTTCTGTTAAAGATAACACAGTGAACTGCAAGAAGGAAAAAGGGATTAAAATACTGTATTATTAATACAAATTACCTACTGCAAATGTTGAATAAACATGGATGAATTAAAAGACATCATTACAAGACTCATTATGATTGCTACTCAACTGAAGATTTTGATGGCATGCAACTTCAAGAAGCAGAAGCAGAGATTTGTATCCACTCACCAACACAGGAGACCTGATCAGATGCCAGCATAAAGCCACTAGGGCATGTGCAAATAAAGGATCCCTCAGTGTTGACGCAGTCGTGGGAACAGCCGTGGTCCTCTGAACACTCATCGGTATCTATAAACAACGTTACAAGACATAAATATCTTTAATACAGCGAGGATGAAAGTAGTACATATCGTCTTGTCAGAAAATGATCAGAAAAGAAAAGAAAAAATCCCCCAATGTGGCATAAAGGTACAGTAATGGAACTGATTAGATCATGTTTACAAAAGATGACTTGGAGGCATTCCTGGATTAGCAAGACATATGAATTACAGTATATATATGATGATTGCAAACTGAAATTTAACATATAAACTTATAACTAGAATGAAAGAATACTGCAATGAATGCTGGGTTCTCTTCAGGAAATATGATGCAAAGTCATTGCAATAAGCTGAAGAGAAGAGGTGAGGATGGTAATCAAGTAGAATACCTGAGTACAACTACACCAAAACAGTCCAGATAGGAACAGAAATCCTTTGACTTGAGAAGAATCTTTCATTAATTTGAAGGAGTAGCCACCTGACTTCACCCAGTAAGGTGGCAAGACCATTAGCCAAGGATTTTTCCATGGTGGGAAATAAGTCAACAGCCTGAAATGCAAACTATGTAATGGGTAGTCACAAGGCTCTGGACTGGAGAAGAATTACCGGACGTTTAGAAAGAATCATTTCATTCCCTTAACAAATATTTTCTCCAATTTTATAAATAACAGACATCTTTTCTTCAACCAAGTTTGATGTCTGCTTACCTGTGCAAGTGATGAGATCAGATGCCAGTACAAGGCCATCAGGACAGGTGCAGGTGAAGGATCCCTCAGTGTTGTCACATCCATGGGAACAATCGTGGCCCCCCGAACACTCATCTATATCTATGGACACGATAATGCTGAAATTTGTTTAATGTAAGCAGGGCAGAACATTAAACAATAACTTGTAAATTGTAAATTTATGTGCACAGTGAATGAAAGCCATGCTCAAATATATGAAAAATACAATAGAATCCCAAAAATCAAATGACAAATGTGAAAAGGCTTCCTTTTTTTGTTGTGGACTTCGGTGGCTTCCTAAACTAAGCACTGATGCAGATAAGCCTTACGGAGATGTACCAGGCTTTTGAGACCCACCCTTGCTTACCAGGACCAGATTCTGGCTCTCTCAACAAGGTGAGGGGAACTTAAGGATGAACAGATGAGCCCAAAACCAAGTAAACCTTCACCATAAAGCATAAGCAAAATGAAACAGTCTACTAATTGCAAAAATTAAGTATCCTTGGATTACAAGGCGAATAACAGTTGTGGTGGAAACACAGTACAAGGGTTTCTGAAGAGCAGAAAGTTGGTCTGGGAAGGACAGACCAACAGTTGGTCAAAATTAAAAGGACCAGAGGAATGACAGGAAGCCAACAGGTCAGAGACCTAGGTGCAGGGATTCAAAACCCAGAACCCATAGTCCCAGGAACTGGCCATTGTTCCCTAAGACCTCTAGAGCAACTATAGGCCACTGGATCTTAAAGCATAGCAATGCCACTGCCACAGCCAATCCATCGAGACAGTCACTAACATCCAGAAAGCCAAGCAAACTAATTGAGCCCCTTACCCATAACCACAAAGGCACAGAGCAAAGGAAAACCTCATTTTATTGTGCTTATGCTTTCTGCTGGAGTTTTTGACTTTGGGTTGAGCTCCGATTGCCAAGATTCCTACACCTCACAGAGAGCCAGATTCTGGTCCTAGTTCTTGATTGGAAAGGGTGGGTCTCATAAGCCTTGTGTAGCTCTTTAAGGCATAGCAGAGGTGCAATAGGTACTCTGAAAGAAAGCTCTGTCAACATCAGAGACCCAAGACTGTTCAAGATGCTTCCACTAAACATAAGGGGCATATAGTCAACCATAATGCAAATAATTTTTTTAAATGGAAGCCTATTTAGATAAAAAACTATCAATATTTAAGTTTAATAAGGAACCTCATTACAGTATCAGTCAAATGAAGACTTTTTAAGCCAATATTTCCTAAAAGATATCTGAAACAAATTTTTTTTTTCAGGGATATTCCTGCATGGGCCATACATTTTTGGCTATTGAAAGGCAATAGTAGTTGAAATAGTACAGTAGTATTGGCCTCAATACCAAAGTCAAACTTTTAAGAATCCATAGACACTTAATTACAATGAAGTTTTGGGGTAAAAACCATTACGATGCTTACCTACACATAATATAAAATCAGGTGCTAACATGAAGCCATCAGGGCACGTACAGATGAAGGATCCCTCAGTGTTGTCACACCCATGAGAACATTTGTGGTCCTTCGAGCATTCGTCAACATCTACACACAAGTGCAGAGAAAAAATTATGTTAAAAGGAATAAAACTAGCGAACACGTGTACACAGTGAACATTAACCTATGCTCGAGAAGAGAATATATTAGACTGGAAACAAATGGGGTACAGAATAGATACACAATGCACCATGATCATCACAATCAGGTTCCCACTTTCATGGGGTGGGGAGGCTTAAGACTGGTGAAAAGAGACACTGGCACCCATAATGCATCAAGGTTACCTTGAGGTGTTTTCACGGCTTAGCGTCCCTGCGGCCCGGTCATCGACCAGGCTTCCCATACATAAGGTATACACAAGTAAAAATTATCTGTTTAAAAATAAGCCACAGCAAGGTCAATATATCCATTTAAGTATGTATATGAATGCAAATGGTGTAGGGATGATGGTGACCTTAATGTCTACAACTTGCTCGCTCCCTCACTCACTCGCTTGCTCACTCACTCACGCACTCCTGTGTGTGTGAGGAGGAAAGAGGGGCAATCACACTCGTAACCCCTGCAATACAGGAGTGTGGGAGATATTTGCTGGGAACCCATCTTTCTATAACATTTTCCACCAAAGGCAACAGAAGTCCTTTTTTTTATTATGTATATCTTCCCACAAAAGTGTAAAATGGGGTACAGTATTGATAATTAGAAAATAAACAAATAAAATATGCATCCAAATACTAAAATCATCCTAAAGTACAAATTACTTTATAAATAATAAAATTAATACAGTAATACATACAGCATTACAAAATTAAATACTTAATTTAAAATGGTTACATAGTAATACAAAATACAGGTGCAAATTTATTACATTCAATACATTTACAATACAACATCAGAAGCCAAGTGCACACCTTAATTTTGTACCTAAGTTTGATTTCTTGTAAGTATTGCAAAGGTTATTATGCAGTTCTGCATAGTAGTTGAAAAGTCACTGCTGATATTCAATAATAAAACATAATTAACTGTTTTGAAAATCATTGCACACTGAAGTACTGCACTAAAAAAATAATTACCTAGATCATATAATCATATTAAATATTTAGGAAAGAGAAGACTATGGTGATGGTAATTTAGGACTAACCATGGCAAGACTTTTTGTCACGTGCAAGGCTGAAGCCAGTAGGACAGGAACAGTGAGCATGACCGTGGGTGTTGATACAGGCATGAGAGCAACCAAAGTTGTCGTTCTCACACTCGTTCACATCTGCCGAAGTCACAAATTATGTGATAACCGAATCATAACACACAACATTAACACAAGATAACCAAATCTACAATATTATTGCAACAAGCATGAACAAGTTCCACTCTATGCTATCAGATAAGGAATTTGCCTTTATGACTCAACAGCAACACTGCATCTAACATCAAGAAGACCAGCTTATGTACCATAGACAAGACAAGGCAAGTCAATAAGGAAGCATATCCTGTAGACAGGATAACAGGATTTTACTGATAAACTGATCAGTGCTGAAGACAGTGGGTTCCATGATGGAAGGAGGCATGTAGATCACATATATACATTGAGACAGCGTGTAGATAGGACAAGCGAGAACAATTATAAGCTGTACATCGCATGTATGGACTTGAAAAAACATAAGAAACAGTTAATAGTGAAGGACTTTTAGAGAATTATGAGCACATACATCATTAACAGAGTGCTGTTAAATGCTATGAAAAGTTTATATGCAAGAAGAAGTGCATGTGTAAGAGTTAATAATAAAATGAGTAAGTGGGTTGATATTAATACACATGTATGCCATGATTGTGTGACATTATCTTGGTTACTCAATATATACATGGACGAGTAAAAACTAAATTAAGGCAAAAGGTTAGTTTGAAGGGAAGGAAGATGAGCACTGACATTAAGAAAAACAACACAGTGAGGAAGACAAAGACAAAGATGAGAGCTCTAGCTGAAGAACAACACATTAAGTAAAGGAGGTGAAGATGAGTGATGGAATCTGCAAAATATGGAGAAAAGGGTAAGAATCAAATATGAAATGGATGAAAAAAGTTAAGAAAATGAACACTAACCCTTGCAGCTGAGGCCATCCTCAGTGGACATGAGGCCAGGAGGACACTCAAGTGTCTGAACCAGTTCATCAGCATTAGCACAATGGTAGCCGCCCTGGGTGTTGATACAGCCGTACTCACACTTACTTGATACATCTTCGTATTCACACTCATTCACATCTGTTGCCAACATAGTTTTTTTTTTTATAAAAAGCAAAATATTTAGGATTAATTTACTTAGTGTAATAATATATTACAGTTTCATGAGTACAGGAAAGGGAAATTTATCATGTAATCTTGTTCAGCAAATGGAAATACAAAACAGGAAGTGAAGTTTACCATCACATGTTTTCCAGTCCATGGCCATGACAAATCCTTCAGGACAAGTGCAGAAAATCTGACCAAAGGTGTTAAGACAGATGTGAGAGCAGCCTCCATTGTTAATGGCACACTCATCCTCATCTTCACAGGTGTGATTGTCGGATCCCAAATGTGTTCCTGAAGCAGGTAAGGCTAATTAATATGGGGGGATTACACTCTATTGCAACATTAACATCAGTATAATATATAGCATTAGATTAATGTTGTGATGGAAGCGATCTTAATAATTTATACTTGTCTACTGACAACTCGACATATCCACCTCTAGCTAATCTTTGTCTTTATGGCAGCTCTCTAAATTACTTTGTATTCTACTTTGTAAGGTATGCATTTCTTTGACTTTTGACCTTGAAATGCATACCTTACAAATGTAAGGTATGCATTTATTTGACCTATTGCTTGCGTTTCTTTGAATTGCAAGCAATACCACCATGAATGTAGAAAAATAATTGCTAAAACCATTGTTTTATCCATTCCAGTACAGTATTCTCCCATTTATTCCACGTGCCTGTAATTTCCTTGCCAGTCTCTCATGTGGTACCTTATCAAAAGCTTTATCAAAGTCCATGTAAGCTACATCTTCAGAAGTCCTTTGGCTGAATACAGTTGCTGATTACTGTTTCCAGAAATGTGAGCAGACGTGATGGTCCAGTCTGGATGGATGGACATCCAGACATTTTGGTCATCTCCAAAAATGGAGATGATTTGATAATGGTCCAGGACGGATCGAAATGTTGTCGCCTCTCCATCTTCGGAGTTGTGGTTTGGTCATCAACCAAAGGTTTATCCTGTTTTCTCAGTTTTTCATAAGCTCAAATACAACAGATTCTCTAGAAGCACTATAAACTGGAGAACTTAAGCCTTGCTTACCTGGTAAATTATCACAAGTGCAGTAGTAGCCACCATCAGTATTGTGACATGTGTCCTGGCAGGGTCCATGACCATTCCTTAACAGGCATTCATTTCTATCTAGTATTTAAAATGAAAAATATATAAAACACAAACTAATGTAGATTAAACACATAATATGTATTTTAAATGGCTTAAGATGCAAAATTGTAATGTAATTATAAACACAGTACTGTACTGTATTGTTGTATGTACTATGGAGAAGAAACATTTCAGGGAGAAACCATAAGAGAATTCCAAGAAAGAGCTAGACCTCGTTCCCCCTATTGTTACTGATAGGTAAGCACCTGTTTTTATATTTTTTTTGTGGCAGGCTTTTGTGGTGAACAGTACAAAAGGCTTTTTGACAGTCTAAAAACATGCAATCTACACAGCCTGCTCTCTTCTGCCTTATGTTAACTGTCAAAAGAATTAAATGTGAGTTGTCGAGCATGATTTGCTCCCTCTAAGCCTGTACTGTATTTCAGTTATAAAGTTTTCCCTCTCCAAATGTTCCACAATCTTCTTTATATGCTTGTGTGCATGGGAGGTGGGTGTTCCCATACATAAGTATATGTGTGTGTGTGTGTGTGCGCTTGTTTTTACATTCATGAGAACTTGTTCTTTTATTTATATGCCCTGCATTACAGTACAGTATTAGTAATCATATAATAAATTGTAAAGCACAAATAGAGAGCATTGTACCTACCAATACAGGATCTGCCATTAGTGGCGAGACTGTAACCCTTGGCACAGCGACACTGATGCGAACCCAGCTTGTTCAAGCAGGCACCTTCGCACCCACCATTGTTAACTTCACACTCGTCCACATCTGCATATATCAGTTAACATTTTAATATTATAAATACTGTACTGCATATTATACAATAATTAATTATAGAAATATATACATTACTGAATACCATAGAAAGACTTAGATCGATGATTCTAGCATGAATCCTCTATTTTTCTTATGTTCTACACTTGAGAAAGTAGTTGAAAAATTAACTCAACAAAGTTAATTTTACAAATATAAATAGCTTGACTACGAGACGTTTTTTTTTAGCCAGGCAACATTTTCACAGGCAGGGGCGAAGTGGATACAAGTTAGCTGGAGCAACATTATATATAACTAAGAAGGATGAGGTGAAGTATGGTGTTACCCAGTTGATGATGGATAACTCAAGAAGGCCTTTTAGCCAAATGAAGCAACTCCAGAGGCAGTATATGCAGGATATTCTGCCTTGGTCTTGAGCATGGTAAAATGTACCCGAGTGTGAGTTGGCTGTTGATAATTGGCTGAGATTGTTTGATACATAGGGCTTCGCCGATGTCTATTGTCGTTGTATCTGTCAATTATTTTAGTGTTGTTGGTCAGGATATTTCTAGTCGTGTATAAAAATTATATGCTCTTTGATGGAGCTTTGTTGTCTGTGCATTGTCAGGTGCCTTGAATGAGATATTGTGGTTTTTGCCTATGCTGTACTGTATATTTCATGCTATACATGTTTTTGCCTATGCTATACTGTATGTTTCTGCCCGAAATGCTTTGCGTAATAGTGGCTTTAGGCATTGTATGTACTAGCTCTATCTATAAAGCCAACAAACTTTGTAAAATCTCTTTATGTATGTACCTTACCTAAATAAAATTATTATTATTATTATTATATGTAGATCAATGGGGCTGACAGTCCTGAAATGTGCATGTAATGGTATAGTCAACATTTGTGCCTTAAGCTCTTCAGGAGCAAATCTTCACTACAAGAGCAAGATATCTTGCTCTTGTAGTGAACTGTTAACTTTATCTTCTAGTTTGTGTTCGTAGGGGTCACATTTTTTATCAATAACATTTTCAGGACTTTCCCCCCCCCCCCAATTTTTTCAGCCTTTAAAAATAAGGTCTAGAACAGTTTAGTAGGCAGAATGCATACTGTAGTATTGGCTATTTCATCAGAGGGAGCATGGCGGTTCATTTTTTAACGATATCTTTGGCATATCCAGTGGAGTATTTAACTCATTATTGACTAGGCTTTGCATTACTGCATTACTGAATTCCTTGTCAACCTGCTTCCAACTAGTGCTGTGTGTGTGAGAGAGCACAGTTGACCTAGGTGTTGGCAACACAAAATTTTGAATTTTAAATGCACAAGAGCAGTGAAACACAAATAAGACAAAAATATATGAAGAAAAAAGAAGAGCAGAACTGACCATACTCCTCCTTTGTGACGCATGAAGTTTGCTCGAAGACGTTCTCCTCCTGGTAACTGCATGAGTTGTGTTGTGGGGCGATATGTCATGATGGTGTCAGTCTCAATAGACCATGTTGTGTTATTTCTTAGAACTGATATAATCAACTGGTTGGATGGATGGTATGATGACGGTGTCGGATGATTGCTACTGCTGCTGTTGTTACAATGTTTACATTATATAACTGGTAATCAAAGTATTTTTCATTGCATGTGTTATTCAGCTGTAGCCAAGTTTTATGGTAGATTGGAGATATGTCCCAAGTGCTTTCAATGCTGTTTTTTTTTTTTTTTTTTTTTTTTTTTTTTACATGTAGTGGGAGGTCAGCTCCAAATAAATGTTCAATGTTGAAGGATACTTTTAAGGTGATGTATTACTGTTTGAAGTTACTTTTGGCACTGCATGAAGTCTCAGGACTTGGTGTTGGATAAAACTTTTAATTTGTATCCATAGCTGTGTTTAATGTTTGGTGTGTTTTATCTGTGGTCTGGTCACTGTTGCATCTATTTTTTTTTTCCACCTTGGTGTGTTTCCAAGTTTGTTTCGGTCATTTTTATGGTTCCGCAATAAGTTTTGGAGTATGATGTTTACCATTTTCCTATGAAGTTCTGAGAAATGGAGAATTTTAGGGCCCCCGTTCAGTGCTATATGGTGAATTGGTTGGTATGTGATATGTGTTGTGGCATGATCTACTATATTTTTATTAATTCTTTTACCGATTCTTCAATGATTTAATTGTAGAGTATACCACATTGTATGGATATGTCATATTCTTCTGAGTGGTGTTTAAGGAACTGTTGGGAGGAGTAGAATTGTTCCATGACTGAAAAAGCAGCACAAATACAATAGGTTGACAAACAGTGTTGATTAAAAAAAAAGAAAATAACAGACATGGGTTGACAATAGAGGAGTGAGGTAGATTACAGGGAATTTATTAGGTAGTGTTTAGTTTTTATCTTAAACTGGTTGAGAGAGGTACAGTCTTTAACATGGTTGGGAAGGTCATTCCACATTCTGGGCCCCTTGATTTGCAGAGCATTTCTAGTTTGATTAAGTCGTACTCTAGGAATATCAAAACTGTATTTATTTCTGGTGTGGTGCTCATGGGTTCTGTTACAACCTTCTATGAAGCTTTTGAGATCAGGATTGGCATTATAGTTTAGCATTTTATATATGTATAATACACATGAGAGAATGTGCAGTGACTTAATATCTAACATATTCAGAGATTTGAGTAGGGGTACCGAGTGATGTCTGGGGCCAGAGTTGGATATTGTTCTAATAGCAGCTTTGTGTTGGGTAATTAGAGGACGTAAGTGATTTTGGGTAGTAGAACCCCAAGCACAAATACCATAGTTGAGATAAGGATAGATAAGGGAGTAATAGAGAGTCACCAGGGCAGGGCGTGGTACATAATATCTGATCTTAGAAAGAATGCCCACAGTTTTTGAAACTTTTTTTGATATATTTAGAATGTGTCCCTGGAAATTCAGCTTGTGGTCAATGAGAATGCCAAGGAATTTGCCATCTAATTTGTTACAAATTTGGGTATTGTTTATTTTGAGATTTATTTGACTAGAGGATTTATTGCCAAACAGAATATAGAAAGTTTTGTCAATGTTAAGGGTGAGTTTGTTGGCAGTTAGCCAAAGATGGACTTTATTTAGCTCAGTATTTACTGTGGCATTTAGAGTGTTCTTTTGTATATCCACAACTGGTAGTGTTGTTGTTCTTTTTGTTTTATTTAAGGGCCACTTTAACACTAGTACCAGATGTACCCTGGCATGTCAGTGTCAGGAAAAAATGCAAAGTCTTGTGGCTACATGTCACCTCTCAGTGTAAAACTACTGTGTCTTATGACAAATAAATGCTGTTAAGCAGAAGTTTAGCAATGCCAGGAGTATTGTACCCCAGAATGGGAAATAGGAACCCCCTCCACACTACAGTGAGAACCAACTGGAAGACTATTGGTATTTGGCAACTCCAGAAGATAAAGATATCAGGTATACTATGAACTCTGGGTAGCTGAACGAAGTTGAATCGTGATGGCTACTCTGAAACTCAAGTGAAGCTGAACCAAATGCAGCAACAATATTCAGTAACTATGCCCCAAAGGTACACCATGAGCCTACCAGGATCCACCAAACTTAAGGCACCTTTTGACCAGCTAGTGTCGGACACCGTCTCTCTCATCCCTGAGAACCAATGGTCAAAATCGAATGATGTTTTTAGCTGATTCCTAGACAGAGCAGGTGTAAAGATTTCTGGTCAGTGTCATGGTTGAACCAGGAATGCAGTTGATAATATAATCATTATTGTTATGCCCGAAACGCTTTGCGTAATAGTGGCTTTAGGCATTGTATGTACTAGCTCTACCTATAAGTCAAACAATCCTTGTAAATATTTATTGTATGTATGTACCTTACCTAAATAAAATTGTATTGTATTGTATTGTTGTTAAGATCTTTGTACAGAGAATACAGTTCAGCTGTGATTAATGAGTTGCTTGGGTGGTCTCCATCTTTGCTTGAAGAGGTAATGTGGGATCCACACAGTACTGGTAACAAAAAGTTCATTATTGTTTTGGATGTGGGATCTATCCATGTAGACTGCTGTGGTGTAAAGTTTTCCATCATGACAGCAAAGGACGTTAAAGTACATCCCGAAACAGGAAAGTACTGTACATCTGCCTGAAACACTGCGTATACTAGTGGCTTTACAAGAATGTAAATACTGTACAGTACTATGCTATGTATTCTCTCAAACCCAATGTACCTTCTTGTATATAAATAAATAAATAAATAAATACATAGTTGATTTACAAACATAACGTTGGATTTATAGATAGAGCTAGTGCATACAATACCTAAAGCCACTAGTATGCATAGTATTTTGGGCAAGGTGAGGTGGGGAAAAAAACACTTAGACTAAAACTTAATAGTAATTGAGATTAAAGTATAAATTGCATTGAATAAAAAAAAAAAGATAAAAAAAGAGGGGGAATATGGTAGAAAATAGCCAATATACAAGTTGGTCAACAAACAGCATTGTTTAAAAATAGTAAAACATGGGTTGACATTTAGGGGTAAGATAGGTGACATGGAGTTAATTAGGTAGTACCAAGTTGTACTAAGCACTATACTAGTACAGTATAGTGCTTAGAAAGAATTTGGAGTGGGTGGACAACTGATTGAGTTGGTGTTACTTAGAAAAATTAGACGGTCTCTAGTGACTTCCCCCCCCCCCCCCCCCCCCCCCCCACGAGGAGCATAAGTCAGGCGTCTGCACAGTGTTAAGACTGAACCAGGAATCCTGTACTGAATGAGTGTGGGTTAAATCATTGTTGTGGTCGCTTGTACTCACAAGTTTAGAGTTACAGAAAATTGAAGCTTTGAGGGGATAACCATGTTAATGTCAAGGTGGTTAAAGTAATGATTTTATATTTTATATTCTTTGTTTACAAAGATAACTCGTGGGGGTTTTATAAAAATGTTGATGCACAATTTTAATGTATTCATATTAATTCATTCGACAGCTGCAACTTAATAAATGAAATATATAGATGTATATGTTGTACCTAATATGCCAAGTTGACTAACAAGCCGAATTTTCCTAAAATAATATATATATATTTAAAAAAATATTAATAATAATAATTCTTATGAAATGATAATGCTTTCCATTATAGTATATATATTAGCTAACCTCTTCATTTCCAAAACTCTAAGCCTCTACAACATTCATTGTCCCCTTCTTACCAAGCAAGTAACTGACAAAAGATTAAACAATCCATGGCTCACAAGTGGCATTCTCAACTCAATCAACAAGAAACATGAATATGAAAGAAAGTTAGGATTGGCCTAGTTTCAAAGGAAGTAGCTAAAAGGTACTCATCAATGCTTACCAGTATCATAAGAAAGGCAAAACTTGCATATTATGTGAATAGATTCAATGAAGCAAAAGGCAACATGAAAAGCACTTGGAAAACTATCTCTAGTATCCTAGTAACTAAACAACACTCACATAACCAAATAAAACTCTACAAGGATGGGGGTATACCGTCAACTGACTTAGAAATGGCAAATGAATTTAATAGTTTCTTTTCATCGGTTGGTGCTAATCTTGCCAGTAAAATCCCACAGACTCAGACACATATCAACACATATCTCTCAGGCAGCTATCCAAACTCTCTTCTCCTTTCACCAATCAGCCCGGCAGATGTTGTGTCCATCATACATTCTCTAAAAACCAAGGCAGGGAACACCAGTGAAATTCCGTCCATTGTGTACAAGAGAGCCTCCCATGCCCTTGCCCCACCCATAGCACTACTGTTCAACAAATCTATAGAGTATCACACCTTCCCTGATATCCTCAAAAAAGCAAGAGTAACGCCAGTCCATAAAGGAGGCAATCCGGCGGACATAAACAATTATAGACCAATATCAAATTTACCCATTCTATCAAAAATATTTGAAAAAATTATTTACAAACAGCTCTATTCCTACCTCGTAAAATTCGACATACTCAGCCCCTGCCAGTTTGGCTTCCGGTCCCAAAAGAGTACCAATGATGCAATCATTAGTCTCCTTGACATTATCTACTCAGCCCTTGACAAAAATGAGTTTCCGATTGGACTCTTCATTGACCTAAGAAAAGCCTTTGATACTGTTAATCACAACTACCTCTTACTTAAACTCAAGCATTATGGAATCCGAGGCCTTGCCCTTGACTACATCCGATCCTATCTTAGTGACAGACACCAATATGTAACCATCAATGATACAACTTCTTCCACTCTACCAATTACCGTTGGAGTGCCACAGGGCAGCATCTTAGGACCTCTTCTATTTCTTATATATATAAACGATCTGCCTAATGTCTCTAATATTCTCAAACCTATATTGTTTGCTGACGATACTACCCTTATCTACTCAAACCTCAACCCACATACACTAAATAATGTTGTGAATAATGAATTAAAAAAAGTCCACTTATGGATGTCAACGAACAAACTAACATTAAACATCGAAAAGACTTACTGCATCTTATTTGGAAGCAAATCATCAAATGCAATTCAGCTACAGATAGACAACATTAACATCAGTAATAAAAATGATGGCAAGTTTCTTGGCCTATTCCTAGACAAGAGACTCAACTTCAGCACCCACATTCAACACATAACTAAGAAAGTCTCTAAGACAGTTGGTATACTCTCCAAAATCAGATATTATGTTCCTAACTCTGCTCTCCTCTCACTATATTATGCACTAATCTACCCCTATCTTAATTATGGTATCTGTGCATGGGGGTCTACCACTGCAAACCACCTTAAGCCCATCATCACACAGCAAAAATCTGCTATCAGAATAATAACTAACTCTGCTTTCAGACAACACTCAGCTCCCTTGTTTAAATCCCTAAACTTGCTAAATATTAACTCCCTCCACACATTCTCTTGTGTCAACTACATTTACAAAACCCTGTTCTTAAATGCAAACCATGCTCTGAAACTCTCCCTGGACAGATGTAATAGGACCCATTATCACCACACCAGAAATAAATATCTCTTTGATATCCCCAGGGTCAAACTTAATCTGTGTAAACACTCTATGCAAATTAAGGGACCTAGTCTATGGAACTCACTCCCTAGTGAATTGAAAAACTGTAAAACTTTTGCCTTATTTAAAAGCAAAACCAAAAAGTACCTAACTTCATCTATTTAGTTTCCTACACTGAGCTTTAAATTTGCTCTGTACCTAGTGTTACCCAATCTCCTAATTTTTATGTAATATCAAACAACCTTATCATTGTGTTCATTGCTGTCTTCTTTTATGTGCTAGCCATATGCTGTATTGTGACTACCAATTTTTGTCAACTACCATTCAAGCTGTCATTGCAATCAATCTTATATTGTTTCTGCTGTATTGTGCCTACCAATTTGTTGTCAACTACCATTTTAAGCTGTCATTGCAATCAATCATAGCTACCTATGTGCTTTAATATACTGTACCTATAATTTTCTCTCATCTTTTTTTTTTCATTCCATGTAATCTGTTATCATTTTTTGTCTATAAATTTTGCAAGTATTTACCTCCTTAAAATTTTCTTAGATTAAGGACCTGCCCGAAACGCTGCGCGTGCTAGTGGCTTTACAAGACTGTAATTACCATATTTGTATCCTCACATTCCTTATGTACATTCTTGTATATGCATAAATAAATAAATAAATAAATAAATAAATAAATATGTATATAATATGTAATGACTTTAGTATCCCCTACAACACGTCGGAGATCAGAGAAAATGGTAGAGGTGCTGGTGGGAGACAACCGACCAGCCCCGACGTTATGGCCTACGATCAGAAAAGCACTCGACCATGCGCTCTTTCACTCCCTCCTCGGGTTTAATATTCCTTGTGTTGGGGGGGACAGGCAGCCAGAGTGTATTTATACACGTTATACTTATATTGAGATTACTGACCCCGCACCCACAAGGATGCAAGCCCACAACAAGCTGACTAACTCTTGGAAACCTACTTACTGCTAGGAGAACAGCTACATTAGGTGATTGGTTTCTTTGGTAGGATAGATTCTTACCTTGACAGGAGGAGCCATCTTGGTGACCTTACCTTGACAAGAGGAGCCATCTTGGTGACCTTACCTTGACAGGAGGAGCCATCTTCAGCGAGGGTGAAGCCCTTGTAACAGAGACACTGACTGCCAGAGGAGGTGGGCTCACAGATCTGCTGACACCCGCCGTTGTCAGAGCCGCATGCCCCGCTGGTGGCCTGGTGAGCTGCAACAACATGGGTTGGTCAGGTTCCCTTACATTATGTTGGGCTATGTTGACTAAACCACACACTAGAAAGTGAACAGACGACGACGTTTCGATAACGGACCGAATCACAATCGACTTGAGAATGGTCCAGGACGGACCGAAACGTCGTCGTCCCTTCACCTTCTAGTGTGTGGTTTAGTCAACATTTTTCAGCCACGTTATTGTGACTCCTCATCTGCTTATGTTAGTCTATCTTAAATAAGGCAACGTATTAGTGTGTACGTTAGACCTAAAATGTTCAGAACTAAATTAAACTTAGTGTACACACACGTTGATAAATCGAGTATAACTAAACCATTCGATGGATAAATTCCTTGAGTAGGAATATTGAGTAGGGTGAGGGTGCATGACATGAATCATGCTTCACCACAGATGTAAATTTCTTGGCTTACAGATTATTTTGGGCCACTTCTTGAACCAATTGTTACAAAAAAACTATTGATATGTACATTAAATATATACATTAAACTGTGTAACTAGCTTATCAACACTAACTTCTTTAGCTAAATGAATTTTGGGATTCAGTTCCTGAGACCATTGTGTACCTCTGTAATATTTTTTCATTACCACCCACAGGATGGGTATGGGGCCCACTAACACCCACAGGATGGGTATGGGGTCCACTACCGCCCATAGGATGGGTATGGGGTCCACTAACACCCACAGGATGGGTATGGGGTCCACTACCGCCCATAGGATGGGTATGGGGTCCACTAACACCCACAGGATGGGTATGGGGTCCACTACCGCCCATAGGATGGGTATGGGGTCCACTACCACCCACAGGATGGGTATGGAGTCCACTACCGCCAACAGGATTCCTTCCTTCTACTCTCTAATTATTCTTTAAATAACAAGATAAGAACATATATGTATATTTGTTCCTGTGTCATTAGTTCTTCTAAGTGTAAATAAAGTGAGATATTTATACACATATACAAAAAAAGACAACCCGTTCTCGCAAATTTAATAAGTCAATATTGACTTATTAAATATGTGAATAGGTGACATACTAAACATAATAGATACCCTTAAAAAGATTCATAGAAAACACCGACCTTACCTAACCTTGTTAGTATCTTAAGATAAGCATCTTATAGCTTCGTAATTACAATTATTACCTAACCTATAATAGGTATAGGTTAAGTAATAATTGTAATTACGATCCACAAGTTCTTCTTTGAGTATTCTTTATTTTTTTCTCCGAGGCTATGGGTCTCTACACTTGCACCAGAGGTGGAACCCCTTTTTGGTTTATATATATATATATATATATATATATATATATATATATATATATATATATATATATATATATATATATATATATATATATATATATATATATATATATATATATAAACCTGCAGGAGACGTGTCTATGTATTTCAAGGCAGCAGGGAAGTTACTTTTGTTTATATTTCAAGAGACAACGCCAAATAATATGGTTTACCGAGGGCCTCCTCCCCAGACCAAATACTGCCATTCCACAAGATGCTGCCCACAACAGATGACTAACTCCCAGGTGCCTATTTATTGTTAGGTGAACATGTACATATTGAGCAAATCCACAACGGCCGTGACGAGGATTCGAACCTGCGTCCGTGAGCATCCATGTCGTAGCTCAGTCGCAACGTCTGGGATGCTCTCGGACGCAGGTTCGAATCCTCGTCACGGCCCTTGTGGATTTGTTCATTTGATGCATCACGCAATTGTGATTTCTATGTGTAATGTACATATCGAGAAAGGAAACGCTGCCCAAACCATTCTGTCGTGATGTGTGGATTGAACCCAGGACCCTCAAATGTGTGCCTATGACATAAACTCTTAATTCTCACCAAAAAACAAATTATTGGTCTTGGGTTCGATTCCTGGGCAGGAGGAAGGGGGTGTGACGTTTGGGCACGTTTCGTTACACACAATGCTCGTATATTCACTTCGCACTGTAAATAAGTTGACGGGCGTTAGTCAACTGTTGTGGGAAACATGATGTATAATGGTCAGAACCGGATAAGCTTAACAGGCTTCGTGTTCCCGTCACTGATAAACCAAAGTAGATGAGGCGAGAGAGTAGAGGAGAAAGGTAGATGTGTGTAGAGGTGAGGGGTGGGGGTGGGGGGGGGGCAGCCGGCAGGCTGGGGGTGCCGCAGGACGGTACTGGAGACTCCCGCCATTTAAGGCCGCCGGCCGGATTTACGAGTGGCCGGCTTGCACCGCGGGGGTTACTGCTTCTTTCACAGTCCTCTTATGGATCCGCTCTCCCACTCTGCCACAGCTCTCACCACCACTACTACCACCCCACCACACAACCACTACCACCACCACAATCCACACGCCCGTCTGGCCCACTATAATGCTAATCTATCAATAACGAAACATACTACAAAAAAAATTCTGTCTTAATAAATATTTTCAGTATTTATAGAATCGTTGCAAACATTCTCATGTTTGGCTTCTTGTAACTGATAACTTTAAAGAATAATGTAAATGTTGTTGAAAGGTGAGCAATATATGCAGGAGCTGCTGTAAAAGAAAGCCGGTCACTCCTCAGGAATAATTATCAAATGAACCTTTGACATCAAGGAAAAACAAGAAGTGGTTGATGAGGTGCACAGGTTCCTGGAGCGGCCCCATCTGGACCCTTACACCCGAGCATACACAAATACCATCAGGCGGGACCAAAGAGCCAGAGCTCAACCCCCGCAAGCGCAATTAGGTGAGTCACAATAAAGTGGCTAAAGTATGTTGACCACACCACACACTAGAAGGTGAAGGGACGACGACGTTTAGGTCCGTCCTGGACCATTCTCAAGTCAATAGGTGAGTACATCTCACACAAATACACAGTTGAACACGAACAACGACCTAACACAATCCCAGAACTAGATCAACTCTCGTAATAAAAACAGTTGATGGCCTCTCGACTAACGACATTACAAACCAGACACGACAGAGCTCATCTCATTGTGAAATTTAAAATCGCGAAGAAAAACAATGTGAATAAATTAACCCAGGCCACTTGTTTACAAGGTACAACGTAGCACATACAAGTGACAACAGCTTCACACTCAACACGTGTCTGGGTACAAGTGACAGCATGAACAACCCAGCGGGTTTTCTTCCTATTGGGGAGTGTTGTACATGCTGCTATGGCGGTGTGTCCACTTGTAGGATGAGTGGCGCTGCCCAATAAACCCGCCCTTCGGGGGCAAATTTTAAACTCAACACGCCACAGTGTAGGACAGACACCACCAGGTGGCTAAATCTCCCACCACGGGGAATCTCCTTCCAATTGAAGTCGCAAATGAAAAGACAACTCTAGTTCAAAATCCAACTGGAAAAAATCCTCAGCACCAATGGAAGGGATTTAGAAGCGGGGGTTCTTGAAAAGATACCGGCTTCATGTCCCCGTCGAGGCCACTAGAGACGGCTATCCCTCAGGTAAATTCAGGTCAAATCGACAAGTCTTTTCCCAACTTTACTGCACTTGGCAATCACTAGTCTAACGATAGTTGGTGAAGCTGCTTCCAAATACTAAAAAAATGTAGCCATGGAACTATCTAATGACAACATCAACGAATCAAGCGGCAATCTCCCGCCAAAAACACCACGAAACTACGACGTCGCTACAACGGCCGAACAGGTCTTAACCCCTAACAATTGTAACAACCACTATAACACGTTGTAACAACGTTCTAATACGTCATAACAAGATGTAACAACTTTATTACACGTTATAACAAGGGAATCATAGGGACCGTTACGTTGTGTGATTACGGGGAACAGTCATATTACCAGCAGAACGTTAACATATGTAAATATATATGTGAGTGTGTGTAACCTATATATGAACCGGGAACCAATGGAGCAGGTATTCATGGCACCCCAGGGCTTCATATGGCCAGGTGTGCAGTGCTCCACGTGAGTTAACATACTCATTATACACAAATATATTCATTCCTTGATTCACCCTTTCTTGGCAGCCTGGTGCCTTGCTATATCCCGCGTGCCGACCAACGCTTTGAGTTCCGTTTATATACCCCATACCCATCCTGTGGGTGGTAGTGGACTCCATGCCCATCCTGTGGGTGGTAGTGGACCCCCATGCCCATCCTGTGGGTGGTAGTGGACCCCCATGCCCATCCTGTGGGTGGTAGTGGACCCCCATACCCATCCTGTGGGTGGTAGTGGACCCCACGCCCATCCTGTGGGTGGTAGTGGACTCTCATGCCCATCCTGTGGGTGGTAGTGGACCCCATACCCATCCTGTGGGTGGTAGTGGACCCCCATGCCCATCCTGTGGGTGGTAGTGGACCCCCATGCCCATCCTGTGGGTGGTAGTGGACCCCCATACCCATCCTGTGGGTGGTAGTGGACCCCATACCCATCCTGTGGGTGGTAAAGGATAAGATTACAGAGGCTTGTTGTTGTTTTAGATTTATCTACTCATAACGAAATGTCTATGTAGCACGGGCTATGGCGAGCCCGTAGAGGTTACAGAGGCACATAATGTACTCAGGAACTGAAACCCAATTATTAGTTTGGCAAAGTTGCATCGCTGATGAGCTAGCTACATAGTTGGTTAACATAGACATCAACAGTCTAGTCGCGGGTTCAGGAGCCGGACTCCAATGTTTTATAGGCTAAGCAATTTACATTTTTCGTATACCTCGCTAGGTATATGGATGAGCCACACTGTGGTTGTACCACGTACCCTGACTTATGGTACACGAACGTGACAAACTTTAAGGAGGATTAGTATTTTTTGGATTACACAGACGTTAGGAGGACCACTTGCTGTGTGAGAAGGACCTCCTTACTGCCTCAGGAGGACCCCCCCCCCTTACTGCGTCAGAAAGAACAATTTACTGCGTCAAGAGGACCCCTTACTGCATCAAGAGGACTCCCTTACTGCGTCAAGAGGACTCCCTTACTGCGTCAAGAGGACCCCTTACTGCGTCAAGAGGACCCCTTACTACGTCAAGAGGACCCCCTTACTGCGTCCAGAAGATGCTACACTTACCATGTCAGGAGCAGATAGTAGGTGAGAGCTGGAAGTGTGAAAGTTAGTACCATTAGCGTGGTGTGGCAGAGCCAAGTAAGCCACGGGTAATTGGCGCTAGGACACCACAACATGGGCGGAGCAAGATAATGGCTAATTCCCAGGCTAAAGATGGGTGGGCGGCGATACAACGGCTATGATTTGCAAGTTGATGCCCCGCCTCGCTGATACGGGATGGCTCGCCGCCGGACAGCCAAGAAGACCTTGTGGGGGTTAATATCTCTCTCTCTATCTATCTCTATCCCAAGCTCAACTATGCAAAATAGACAGTTTCTATCACCGGATAATATATTTTATACAATGTTCATGACGCCAAATAGCAATGCTTGACAACTCAATTTATTTTTCACTTTCAAATTAGACACTCGTGATACTTTCACTTACGTAACAGAGACGAGCATGATACGAGAGGGTCTAGCGCTACCAGTTGGCCAAGACTCCTGCTCGTAACTCACCAGTTGGCCAAGACTCTTGCTCGTAACTCACCAGTTGGCCAAGACTCCTGCTCGTAACTCACCAGTTGGCCAAGACTCCTGCTCGTAACTCACCAGTTGGCCAAGACTCTTGCTCGTAACTCACCAGTTGGCCAAGACTCCTGCTCGTAACTCACCAGTTGGCCAAGACTCTTGCTCGTAACTCACCAGTTGGCCAAGACTCCTGCTCGTAACTCACCAGTTGGCCAAGACTCCTGCTCGTAACTCACCAGTTGGCCAAGACTCTTGCTCGTAACTCACCAGTTGGCCAAGACTCCTGCTCGTAACTCACCAGTTGGCCAAGACTCTTGCTCGTAACTCACCAGTTGGCCAAGACTCTTGCTCGTAACTCACCAGTTGGCCAAGACTCCTGCTCGTAACTCACCAGTTGGCCAAGACTCCTGCTCGTAACTCACCAGTTGGCCAAGACTCTTGCTCGTAACTCACCAGTTGGCCAAGACTCCTGCTCGTAACTCACCAGTTGGCCAAGACTCTTGCTCGTAACTCACCAGGTGGCCAAGACTCTTGCTCGTAACTCGACGGTGAAGACGACTGATACAAATACAAGCGAGCGGGACCTCGAGTGACCCCCTCTTCCACCCAGAATGTTGAGGAGAGATACAGGGAGAGGGACAGAGGGGGAGAAGGAGAGGGGAGAGGTAGGAGAGAGGGGGGCGTGGGAGGAGAGAGATGTGAGATAACCAAGTATCGATTCCCAATTAAACTTAGCATTCAATACGATATTAAATCTAGTTATCGAATACCCAATTAAACCCAGCATTTCCAATCGAAACTAGCTTAACCTAATATCGATACTCATTTAAACCTCGCATACCCTAATCCAATTTAAGCTTTTCATACCACCTTTTTATTCATTTAATATTGGGTGGACGGGTTGGTGACGTACATCTTTTCTCAATCTTTGGCGGCTGTGTTTGCAATTATTAAACAGTTAATGAGCTCTGAAGCACCAGGAGGCTGTTTATAACAATAACAACAGTTGATTGGCAAGTTTTCATGCTTGTAAACTGTTTAATAAATGTAACCAAAGCCGTCAAAGACTGAGGAAAGATGTAATCGTTCGTAAGTACCTGCGTAACTGCTTCGTGAATCTGGCCCCCTGGTCACCAACCGTCCTCCCAATAACACGTCGCATTTTGACGTATACTTTACCTAACGGGCAAAAACTGTCGTACTACAAAATAGTAGCGGCTGGCGAAATTGGCATAATGTCCCGTTTTCTGTTTGTGGCCTCTCTGGTAGGTTGAAGAAAGAAAGCAATCTTTCCTCAAAGATTGAGGAAAGATGTGCACGTTCGTAAGTACTTGCGTAACTGCTTCGTGAATGTGGCCCCAGGCTGCCCTGTGGTCACACACAGCTCCACCTGGGTCTCCCTGCTCTCACATGCTCCCTTTACCCTCACTTGATTAAGTCGATAATGATTTAATAAGATAATATGAGAGCCTGACAAAATTTACGAGAATATAATAGGGATCCCCCAAGACACGTGTATAATAGACGAGCAGGTTTAGCTCCACAACCTCGACAGCTAATTACACGCTTGTAACCTGTTATCATTTAATAACCCAGTGTTTTTTGCGTTTATGTTATGTATTTTTAGATTAAAAGAAGGTCGGGGAATGCTAAGTGTAGGTTTCGACGGGACCTGAGGATATTTATCCATGAAAATATTGTTCATTAGCGGAGGGATCAATTTGGGTTAACAATTCATTTCAAAATCAACCTTTTCCGTGTGGTCAATATTCCGAGAGGTACTGAGCTGACGTTTTCCTAAGATAAGATTTTTTTGCTTATATTAACACCATTTAATGTTGACACTTTTGCAATGTTTTTTTGCAGGCCATTTTCGTGTTTAGTGAGGCCAGCAGACGGAATAGTGAGAGGGAAGACTGACTTACCGTATGCGACGCAGGTAGGGAGAATCCCCAGCCACTTGTCTCTCCTGCAGAAGAGTCGGTTACTGAAGTCCTCGCCCAACCTGTAGCCGAACTCACACTCATATACCGCCTCTGCGTACTTGTTGTTGGGGGGAGCTGGATTGGTAACGCTGCTTGCGGGAGAGAGAAGAAGAGCAGGGTTATCAAGGCTAAGATATAGTAGAAATTGGCAATAATACATAAATCCCGATATATAAATACAATTAAGAGTTCTGGCACGAGATCTTCATTAAATCTGGACGACTCAGAGTTGCTACAGAAGACATACGTGTGGAAGGCTGTGACGCGGGCCCTCCTGACCCTCGGTGGAGGGAGGTAGATGCCGTCAGCCTCGGAGATGACGCATGACTGGTCCAGCTCGGCGAAGTTGATATCCTCAGTCTCGACGAACCTGACGGGAAGGGCAGGAGGAGCTTAGATTAAGAGGGCCGGCGTGCGGCTTGTACGCTATGTGCTCGTATCTTCATCACTGGGATTGTCAAGAGGGTGAATAAAAAGCATTGTGATATACTGAATGTCGGATAAAAACGTTTCTCGTGTAAAATGGGTGGTATATCACTACTCAAGAGCTGGTAAAACTGGCCTTCTTCTATGGAATGTTACACGAAACATGAAGAGTTTAAGATTAGAGACTGGGCACGAGGAAACTCGTATCTCACCTGGTATTCTGGGAATTTCCTCCATCACCCAGCAACCTGTCTGTCGGGTAACCCTCGGGGAGGCCCTCGGGAAGCTCGCCCCCATTCTTGTCCTCAACTTCGTTAGAGTAACTCCTAGGATTTTCACTGTAGATGTCCATCTCGTCCAGGTAGCTGTAGTCGTCATCTCCACCAGGGTACTCACCTCTTGTACCGTCTTCATGCTTAACTGGAGTTTCACCAACTGACTTCTTCTTTCCTTTTCTCGTCTTCTTGTGTTCCGCAGGCAAAGAGTCTATGCTTTTCTCGAAGTCGGTGATGAAGTCTTCCTCTGCCGTGCTCAATATGTCGTCTCCGCTGTATAGGGATGATGACGGCGACTCCGGGACAAAGTCAACAATGGTGCCCTCAGCTTCGCGCCCTTCGATGGTGTACTGAGGCTCCACGGCAGAGTACGTCGAGTCCTTAGGATAGCCAGAAGACACTTGTGGTTTGTCGGCTGAGGTGGTGGCTACGCTGGAGGTGGTCGTGGTTGCAGACGAAGACGCCTCCGATACCTCACTGTCATCGTCAGAATTTCCAAGTAGGCTCCCCGTAGAGCTGCTGTCAGTTGGAGGGCGCTTTATTTTGATCTTATTCTTCTGTTCGTGTAGGCTTGGGAGGACTTCGTTGGCGATCTGATCGTTGCCTCCTTCGCTAGCGGTCACGCTGGGCCCGTCGCTGTTCGTGTCCCATGTATTCAGGTTGTTTTCTAATCGACTTTCGCTCTCATCTCGACTATTCTTTTTCCTGTTCTTTCGATTTTTCCTTCCTCCTTTACCTAAGAATTTCAAGATTTGCTTTATTGAATATTAAGGTTAAAAATTAAACATTTAAAGTTTCATGGATATTAGTAGTAACATTTTAATCATATATATATATATATATATATATATATATATATATATATATATATATATATATATATATATATATATATAAATATATAAATATAAATATATATATATATATATATATATATATATATATATATATATATATATATATATATATATATATAAAGAGAAAGCAAGATTCGAGTAGTTACATTGAACACATTATTAAGCATGTCTTGATTATGTGTTCAACACAATATACAAGTAAAATATCAATTGAAATATTACTTCTGTGTTTCCTGTTATACTATAGGTAACTATTTCAACTTATATTCGAATTAACATTATAACTACTGCTCCAATTAATATTTCAATTATTGTATCATTGAATAGTTAAATATATTTATTATTATGCCAATTAATATCTCAATAACTAGAAGTCTAAGTTGCCAAAAGATTTTTTTTTTTCATTTAGACCTTGTTTATCGCTCTTCTTCTCTTGTTCAGTATTCTTTTTTCTTCGTTCTTTCCTCCTCCTCTTCTCTCGTCTGCTCTGCAGGATAGTACTAAGGTTCCTCCCGCGCTCCTCCACTGTCTGCGTGTCTGCCACGCCTCCTGCAGCCTGGTTCACCTCGTTCACTGACCGGTCCACAGCCTCCACACCTGTAGTCTGCTGCTGGACCGGGACAATGACGCATATATTACCTCATTTATGATATATAAACAACTTCAGAAAAAAGTAGTTTTTTTTGCCACCCGTGGAAGCTGTATTATGCGACAATGAACAGTCCCAAATTGTCGTTAGTAAGATAAATTACCTGACTGGACTAAAGGGATACAAACCTCCTCTTGTGCTTTTCCCTTCTTTCCTTTGCGTCTCTTGCGATCTCTCTTCTTCTGCTTCTCCTCCTTCCTCTTCCTATTCCTCTCTCTTCTCCTCTCGATTCTCGCCCGTCTCTCGGGGTCTTCTTCGCCTCCTCTTGCGACGCTGGCAGGAGTCTGGGTCACTGGTGGGGGGATGGTGGTGGTAGTGGTAGTGGTGGTGGTGGTGGTCAGGGGCGCCTCGCTCGACGACCCCGTCTCCACCGCCCCTCTCCCTTCTTGCTGCTGCCGAAGGAAAGGTGAATATGTTGACCAAACCACAACACTAGAAAGGTGAAGGGACGACGACGCTTCGGTCCGTCCTGGAGCATTCACAATCGACTTGAGAATGGTCCAGGACGGACCGAAACGTCGTCGTCCCTTCACTTTCTAGTGTGTGGTTTGGTCAACATATTTCAGTCACGTTATTGTGACTCCTCGTCTGCAAAGGTGAGTAATCGGATGGTTGTGGGTAGTGGTAGTGTATGTAGTGGTGGTGGTTAGAAGGGGTGTGTAGTGGTAGTGGGTAGATGGAGTGTGTAGTGGTGACAGTTAGAGGGGGTTAATATGATGGGGTACAGACGCCCGCGTGTGTTATAACATGACTGAAGACACTTCTCAAGTGGAGGAATTATTACCGTTAATTAGTAAAGACTCTTTATCTACCGTTAATTAGTAAATACTATCATTAATTAACGGTCGAGTGGTTGTATACACACGTCTCATTAACCCGGTATCTGCCTACATATGTTAACCAAAAGCCATACCTGAGTCTTCCCCTTCCTTCCTCTCACTGTCTGCGGCTTCTTGGTCTTCTTCTGCTGCTGCTTCCTCTCCTTTCTCCTCCGCTTCCTCTCTCGTATCTTTTCCAGTCTCTTCAGTCTCTCCTCTTTGGTGTCCTCTGCCGGCACCCTGCCTCTGGTCGCTTCACTCCGGGAGCCTTTGGCCTCTCCCTTGACTCTCTGCTCCTTGAGGTTGTCCTTGATGGTGGAGGAGGACTCGACGATGTTGTAGGCGACGACGATCTGCTGGTCCTGCTGTTGTTGGTCAACCTGAGTCAACTCCGGTACTGGGGCTTCTACCTCGGGTACTGGGGCTTCTACCTCGGGTACTGGGGCTTCTATCTCGGGTACTGGGTCCTCCACCTGGGCCACCTCGGGCACTGCTCCCTCCCTCACAACAAACAAATAATAAATATATTGTTAGAGATAGTTGTTTAATTCAGATTGTTGCCGCCGGAGGGCGACTGTATGTGCACCCCATACTCATCCTGTGAGCGGTAGCGCAAAAAAGATCACATTAATATATATTATAATAATATATTAATTATTATACATTGAAGGCAAGTCTTTTATTAATATATCAAATAATACATTTACAGGATAACAGAAGAGCTTCTGTTTACACTTTTAGTCTCCATATTATACAGCTTCTACGTGTAATGGTTTACTTGACTACTGTTTGTTAAGCGAGTTACACTTTATGGAGCATGAGAGGCTATTCATTGATCACTCGTTAATTCGTACACAATATATAGCAGAAATAAGCGATGCATATTGACAGAAAGACGAATCCAATACACTCCGGGGAGATGAAACAACTACAGTACAACCTCCACAGATTGAACAAATACATAACTCGGCTCCAAGAGATATGAAACAAATGCACACTACATCTCTAAATAGGTGATACAAATTACACAATACACTTCAAATGCACACACACACACACACACACACACACACACACACACACACACACACACACACACACACACACACACACACACACACACACACACACACACTCACACACACACACACACACTCACACACACACACACACTCACACACACACACACTGACAGTTTATCAAGAAGGCACTTAAAGAAGGCACTTGGAGTAGCATCAGTGAAGCACTTAAAGCCACATGATAATGACGGCTCTTAAACGTTGATAAACATAATAAGAACCTTAATCTTTCTTGCTGGGGTCTGGTGCCAAAGGCCGGGGGGGGGGGGAGCCGTACGCCGGGGGGGGGGGGCGGACGCCGGGGGGGGGGGGGGGCGGACGCCGGGAGGGGGGAGGGGGCTGGTACTAGGGAGGCCTAGTGGCCAACAGGGGGGGGGAGGTGTAAGTGTAGGTGTAAGTGTAAAGGCCCGTAAGTTACCCGGGATGGCATTTATAGTAACCTGAGAGCGCCCTCAACACTTCACCAGAGGGGATAAACCTTAACAAGATGTGTGTCCTAGTACAGTTGACTACGTTCGTTCCCGACTGACAATCAGGTATCCCGGGTTCGATTCCTTGCGGGGGATAGAAATGATTAGGCACGTTTCCTTTTTACCTAATACCGCTGTTCACCTAGCAGTAAAGAGTTAAGACAACTGTTGTGGGGGTTGCATTTTGGAGACGATCAGTAGTTCGACCTTGTCAGTAGTTCGACCTTGTTAGTAGTTCGACCTTGTTAGTAGTTCGACCTTGTTAGTAGTTCGACCTTGTTAGTAGTTCGACCTTGTCAGTAGTTCGACCTTGTCAGTAGTTCAACCTTGTTAGTAGTTCGACCTTGTCAGTAGTTCGACCTTGTCAGTAGTTCGACCTTGTTAGTAGTTCGACCTTGATAGTAGTTCGACCTTGTCAGTAGTTCAACCTTGTTAGTAGTTCGACCTTGTCAGTAGTTCGACCTTGTCAGTAGTTCAACCTTGTTAGTAGTTCGACCTTGTCAGTAGTTCGACCTTGTTAGTAGTTCGACCTTGTTAGTAGTTCGACCTTGATAGTAGTTCGACCTTGTCAGTAGTTCGACCTTGTCAGTAGTTGCTACTATCTTATTACTGCTAGTCATATAGAAGTGGTGAGAGTGTTCACGACCAGGCTAGTGCTGCTAGTATTACGGCAGTGGTTAAGAGTGTTCATCATGCCACAGTCTAGTAGTGAACATGAAGAGAACAGAATAATTATCAGAATACAGTTCTTATTTTAAGGGGAACCTCTCTGCCTCATAACTGTATCTCTGACCAACCCCGAGGACTTGTGTTACAGTGTTGAAAAGTAACATTAATTCTTTACTGCTGGTCGTATAAGTACCTTACATTAGTTATCTGATTCCGTGACAGAGTTGAGGCAGATATCCTTATCCCAGTTGACTGCACTGGAATAAGGTAATACACTCACCTTATCCCAGTGCAGTCCAGAACGGTGGATAAGACCAAGAGCACCAGATCCAGCAGCTGTGTGTGTGTGTGTGTGGATATATTGCTACCTCGCTTCAGAAGAGGCGTCAGTAGTGAGCACTGTGATTATCGCCCCGGAGGGCTAAGCCCTGTACATCTACAAGAGACCAGGCATAACTTAGAACTAGTAGAACTCACAACCTTATCACCTTTAAGACCCGACACGACATAAACAATTACACAATTAGAACCCTCCCCCAGTCGTGGACGTCTAAGCGTTTGAGAGGACGCTAAGGGCCATAGTGTCAGACCAGAGACCAAGCGAGAGCACTCCAAGCAGCAGCCGACCAGAGACGGTCTCACCTGTTGTTAAGACGGCGCCCGCGGCCTCTACCGCGCTGGTGGCCGGGGCGTTGTCGACCTCGTCCTCTCTGTCGTCTGGGCGTGCTGGGCGGCTCTGGTGCCCCTGTGGGTGGTTCCGGTGCTCCTGTGGGCGGTTCTGGTGCCCCTGTGGGTGGTTCCGGCGCCCCTGTGGGCGGTTCCGGCGGAACTGTGGGCAGGGAGTGAAGTACGTTAGGTCAAGTATTAACCTCACGAAGAATGTAATTCTCAAATTCATATATTCACACATAAATACATGGCCATGTTTTTCACTCAAAACGAGCTCACCCCTAAAGCCTAGACAAAAAAAAAAAAAGTCCATCTTGCCTCCTGTAAACAGCTACGCTAATTACTGTTATTAGTTTCCTTGCTATCACCTGTTGCTTACAGCACGGGTCTCTCAATATACTCTCCCGAGTCAACCACAAACGTATGTTGATACATAAAGAGTGAGTGACGTCAGCGCATAAAACAGCATAAAGTTCCACCCTGATGATGCTCGCCTCTGGGGACTGGTTGCATATATAGACTTGATCAGGAAAAGTAACGGAGTAGCCAAAACTGACAGAAGACTTGGACTCAACCGTAAACATGTATAATGGGTGAACGTCAGGGAAAATGTTCAAGAAAAATGAGTTTCATAAATATAGTAAGGGGTTGAGGGATCCTGCCTATGTAGGGCAAAAGGTTCCACATATGAGCTCAAGATTGGCGGAGAAGGAAAGGCTCCACAGCCAAGGAGGAGGAGGAGGAGGAGGAGGAGGCCGGTGAGATGCAAGGCGTCAAGACGGCGAAGGGTCGAGGCCGACGTGTACAAGGGCTAGCCATTGTGTAGTTTAGACAACACAAAGGAGGGTAGAGGAAGGAGGGTAGACCTATCCGTCCCCCAGGAGGCATGGGACAAGACTCAGAGCATCCAGTCCCGAGGTAAGTGACAGGCGGGTGTCAAAGACCAATCTGCACGAGTCAGTAGGCCTATTGCATTGTAACACTTGGGAATACCTGGTTGTCCGCGGGCACTATAGTGTGTCTGTCACTCACCACACCCACCTGTCCATACACCACACCCACCTGTCCATAACACCACACCCACCTGTCCATAACACCACACCCACCGTCCATAACACAACACCCACCAGTCCATAACACCACACCCACCAGTCCATAACACAACACCCACCAGTCCATAACACCACACCCACCAGTCCATAACACCACACCCACCAGTCCATAACACCACACCCACCAGTCCATAACACCACACCCACCAGTCCATAACACCACACCCACCAGTCCATAACACCACACCCACCAGTCCATACACCACACCCACCAGTCCATAACACCACACCCACCAGTCCATACACCACACCCACCAGTCCATAACACCACACTCACCAGTCCATAACATCACACTCACCAGTCCATACACCACACCCACCAGTCCATAACACCACACTCACCAGTCCATACACCACGCCCACCAGTCCATAACACCACACCCACCAGTCCATAACACCACACTCACCAGTCCATAACATCACACTCACCAGTCCATAACACCACACCCACCAGTCCATAACACCACACTCACCAGTCCATAACACCACACCCACCAGTCCATAACACCACACCCACCAGTCCATAACACCACACCCACCAGTCCATACACCACACCCACCAATCCATAACACCACACTCACCAGTCCAAACAGTTCAGCTTTCATAGCCACAGTTTGCACATATTTCAAGTATCTTTTGTTTAAACTTCACATCGAGGAAAAAATCTTGTACTGCTATTTTTTTCAATAAATTACATAAGACGTGCACATTCTTCACAGGTCGAGGACGTGCACATTCTTCACAGGTCGAGGACGTGCACATTCTTCACAGGTCGAGGACGTGCACATTCTTCACAGGTCGAGGACGTGCACATTCTTCACAGGTCGAGGACGTGCACATTCTTCACAGGTCGAGGACGTGCACATTCTTCACAGGTCGAGGACGTGCACATTCTTCACAGGTCGAGGACGTGCACATTCTTCACAGGTCGAGGACAAATATGTGTTGCAGGGTAAAGAGGCTGGCCTTTGCACACACACGAGAGCAACAGCCAAGCCTGAGTGTGCAGTTAAGCCTCCAAGATAGCAACACGTACACATATGGTGCACCGATAACGTCCAATATCCCTTGTTCTCCAGCAGGACCTGCGTGTGTGATCACTGTGTAACTTTATTAGACCCCTAGTCCTTAGTGCTGTTTCTTGGCCGGGATATTGATGGTGGCCGGGATATTGATGGTGGCCGGGATATTGATGGTGGCCGGGATATTGATGGTGGCCGGGATATTGATGGTGGCCGGGATATTGATGGTGGCCGGGATATAGATGGTGGCCGGGATATAGATGCTGGCCGGGATATTGATGACGTTATGGGTATTGATGATGACTGGGATATTGGTTATATCCAGAATAATGATGATACTCGGGATATTGACAATTTCCCGTCTGAACATTGAAATTTGTTGCAATAATTCTTAAGTGTTTTATGAACAGCCGGACACAGAGGCGTGCATGTTCACTAGTAATGTGGAACTTATATAATGAACAATCCCGGTAACCAGGATAAAACAAGTTACAATTATAGAGCAATAACTATCTGTTCACACGAGGGATTAGTCTCATTCAACTGAGAATGTCTACATAATTATTTGGCATTTTTATATCTAATGTCTCATATGGTGGTTGTGGTGGAGGTGGGGAGGGGGGGGAGTTGTTGTGGTGGAGGGGGATGGGGTTGTGGTGGAGGGGGTGGGGTTGTGGTGGAGAGGGGGTGGGTTGTGGTGGAGGGAGGTGGGGTTGTGGTGGAGGGGGGTTGGGTTGTGGTGAAGGGGGATGGGTTGTGGTGGAGGGGGGTTGGGTTGTGGTGGGGGGAGTTGTTGTGGTGAAGAGGGGGTGGGTTGAGGTGGAGGGGGTTGGGTTGTGGTAGTGGAACCTGTGCTCTCTATCGTGTGGGAGTTGGTGTACCGTGTTCGTCCACTCTAACGCATTGTGGCTCAGTTATCTTCAACTTGCTCCTGCAACTGTTGACATGGCTACACACTTTCCACGGTGAGTGTGTGTGTGTGTGTGTGTGTGTGTGTGTGTGTGTGTGTGTGTGTGTGTGTGTGTGTGTGTATACTCACCTATTTGTGCTTGCGGAGGTTGAGCTCTGGCTTTTTGGTCCCGCCTCTCAACTGTCAGTCAACAGGTGTACAGGTTCCTGAGCCTATTGGGCTCTATCATATCTACACTTGAGACTGTGTATGGAGTCAGCCTCCACCACATCACTGCACTCCATTTATTAACTACTATGACACTAGAAACGTTCTTTCTAATGTCTCTATGGCACTCAAGTTTCTACCTGTGTTCCCTTGTCCGTGTGCCCTTTGAGGCAAATAAACTGTCTTTATCTACACTATTAATTCCTCTGAGAATCTTGTATGTGATGATCATGTCCCCCCCTAACTCTTACCTGTCGTCTAGCGACGTGAGGTTTAATTCCTTGTAGTTAGTCTCTCCTCGTAGCTCAGGGGTATGAGCTCGAGTACTAGTCTGTTGGAGGTCTCTCTCTCTCTCTCTCTCTCTCTCTCTCTCTCTCTCTCTCTCTCTCTCTCTCTCTCTCTCTCTCTCTCTCTCTCTCTCTCTCTCTCTCTCTCTCTCTCTCTCTCTCTCTCTCTCTCTCTCTCTCTCTCTCTCTCTCTCTCTCTCTCTCTCTCTCTCTCTCTCTCTCTAGAAGCACTGGGAAAGGTTAAGTGAGGAAATAATGGTGGAGGTGACCTCTGACCTGTGGCCAGGATTGGGAAGGCGAAGGAGGGTTGACCTCCTCCTCCAAGGAGGTTTATGGGAAGGGGGGGGGGGAGAGGGGAAGGGCAGGCTATAAAACCCCACGTTGTACGTGTTGGGGTCAAATGACGTGACCTGACCTGCTAGCTCTGTACAACCAGTTGCAACTAAGGAACATTACATTTCTGCAACATGCTGGTAAAATTGACCTTTTATAAAAATAGTCTTGGAAAGCATATCCGTTTGTTTATATGTAATACTAAATTCAACAGATGTAGGCACTTCTTTATATATACATATATATATATATATATATATATATATATATATATATATATATATATATATATATATATATATATATATATATGTATTAATAGGTAAAAATTTCTACTGATGTACGATATCTTGCTTTCATTTCGATATCTTAGCCTTAGCGACTAAGCCTTACACAAAATTGAACATGCAACATTGCACACACACAAAGCCAACCTAAATGTTGATCACTTTAGGTAATCTTTTAATTATCTTGAGTTGAAGATTTATTTTCAGGTATTAATCAATAATGTGGTCATACTGCCTCTGAGATTCCTCTTGATAATTACTTGATTTGGGAGGGAGGGGAGAGTTATCAGGGAGAAAGCGCCAAGCCATTACGACTATATAGCACTGGGAAGGGGTCAGGATAAGGATTTGGGATGGGACGGGGGGAAAGAAATGGTGCCCAACTACTTGGACGGTCGGGAATTGAACGCCGACCTGCATGAAGCGAGACCGTCGCTCTACCGTCCAGCCCAAGTGGTCTGAAAAGGTTTGAAACCACTTCTCCCAAGTGGTTTGGGAGAAGGTCTATTTGCAATTAACGCTCAATGGGTAAATTGTTTCATATTTATTACAGACAAGCTTCCATATTGGGCAGACGCTGGTTAGTCTAATAACTTTCAGAATCGTCAACTGTCGGTGAGCGGGTCAAAGGTGACAGTGTTACATCACGGAGCGGGTCAAAGGTCACAGCGTGACATCTGTGGTGAGCTGATTACATATAATTCCTGCACCGGTACAGTTACAGTCACAGAGGGGAAGGTCACAGTCTGCTGTGACCTTCAGCAGACTGCTGAAAGTCTGCGATGTCTGCTCTACCTACAGTAGGCAGACATAGGCTACTTGGCTATGCTTTCCGGCAGCACATCATTTTAAATTATTTTGATATATCTTGAACATTTATAATAATGTAATATGTTAATTCTTTCTTGTTCATAGTCATATCCCTCATATACATATCCCCCAACGGGAGACAGACACCAAACAACGGGAGACACAGACAGCAGACAACAGGAAACACAGACA